ACAGGTTTTCTCTCAGGTTTTCAAATAAAAAACTTTCTAAAACCTACATTATTTGTGTTGAGTGAGAAGGTAAAGGGTTGAAAAGATACTCCTGTCCAAGGTACTAATGCCTGAGATGAAATCAATTTTCACAAAAATAATCTATGAAATATTCTGGTCATAGGAAACTATTATGTGAATTTTCAAAATTATCAAAATGTAATGCTTTTATCCTCCTCGGATACTAGACAAACATCTATGCATGCATCCCTTCTTGTTTACAAATTCCACCCAGAGAGAACCAATGATAATATATATAGATATGCAGGCAGGTATAAATTTTGAGGTCTTGAGAAAAAGTGCAAACAGCACCATCTCTGTCGTACGCATGGCATTTTATCCTCTGGATTGTTGCTAATTTATAATTTTTTTTTATGCGTGATAACACTAAATGCGTACTATAGTATCAACAATGTATTACCTTCTCTCAGAGGTTCAAAAATTAGTTGTCTGCTACAAGCAATTTAGGAAGGAGGTTTCTACCTGCCTGCATATCTATATATATATTATCTTTGGAGAGAACTGGTTTAAATATGCACGCAGAGTATACGCGACTGCAATTAACTTTCCTTGCATTTGTATCTTGTCCCTGGCCATTGAAACACATGGAGCCTGAAAATTAATAGAGATCAAGAGCAAGATCAAGATCAAGATTAAGATCAAGATCAAGATCATGATCAAGATCAAGATCAAGATCAAGATCAAGATAAAGATCAAGATCAATATCAACATTTGCTTCAACATCAACATCAAGATCAACATCAATATCAACATCAAAATTAACATAAACTTCAACATCAACATCAACATCAACATCAAAATCAACATCAACATCAACATCAACATTATCAGCATCAACAACAACAACAACAATTGCAACAACTACAGAGTTATGATCAGCCTTGAACCCCATGCACATATGCTTTTTCTCCGGTGAAATCTGTCCACATCAAGGAAAGTCAAGACCTCCTCCCCACTTTATACGAAGAGAACAAGATATTGGCAGCTGTGAGCAGTGGCATAGCATCAAGAATGACTGAGACTACTTGCATCAAATAGAAAATAAACCTAGACTATTTGTGATGTGGAGGTCGCTATATCTACAAGTATTTATGTGTGCCAACCAAAGTTCCATTGGAAGTGATATCTTTTTGCGTCCATATGCTACACCAGTGATAATCCTTGGAGCCATCCAGATGGTATTCTTGATGATGTACAAACTAGAGGAACAGAATTGTTAACTGTCTCAACCCCTTGGGATTTGTCTCAAGGAGTTTATTCTGATTAGCCACGCAATAAAATAATAATATCCTGTGTTATATGCGTCCTGATGTTCAGACGACTACAACAGCGACTCCATTGCAGCTCTCATTAATAAGATTATGTTGGGCTGATAGATATTTTTAAACCTATATCTGTAAAACCTGAATTATGTTTTGCATTATTAATTATCTACGTTTTAAATAGGTACCATATAGAGATTTACTATAACTGCACTGTAACTAACTAGATAACATGATTAGCTTAATAACATTGTATGTATATATATATACGTACTTATTCAATAAATCTTATTTAATTACCAATTTTTTTTCTGTTTTTTATTTAATTAACTTATTATGTGTTTAATTAATTTGAAAGTTTTTGCAAATTATTATAAGAAACGGAATAATTATTCCAAATTCTGAATATAAGTTTTCGCATTTGACCACTAGGTGGTGTCTATGCTATTAAAGAGGTGACACGTGCTATGTATACAGAAATTCTTACATTTTTATCCACTTTTTTAACAATAATGACTTGCATTATTAACAGTTTTAAAAATATTGTTCTGCATTCAGTTTTTCTTATAAAAATAATAAAAAATGTGGAATTTTTATTTTTTCGCCGTTTTCAAAATATTCATAATTTAGGGATAATTTATTAAAAAAAAACCTCTGTGATTCGCTTTTCCAAAAATTCTTCTTTTTTTATTACGTTTTAATATTTACAGTGTATGCAAATAAGTGAAGCAGAATTTTTCTACGGGAAACAGATCCTTATAAAGTATGTCTATGAAAATACATTTTTGTTGAAAATTATTGTCAACAAATAAAATCTAGTTTTATAATAAACATGGATCTAAAATTCAGTGATGGTGATGGACCAAACCTCTGTAGAGTAAAAAAATAGATGTTAGTTCCACATTTATTGAAAATATATTTCGGTCTGGGTTGACCCTCGTCAGTTCTTGAGATTGTTTCTTCACAAAGATTAAAAACAAACTCGTGACAAGTCTGGCATTGTTGTTCTCTTTTTGACCCTTTTTGTTTGTTTTGTGCTATCCACATGGAAAAAGTTCCTGAATTGAAATGAATAAATTGAAATAATGAAATAGTTTTTTTTTATAACATTTAAAAATAAAACATAAACAATATAGGACGATAAGGAACAANAACCATTTCACCTAAAATCTAGATTTTCATTGGAGACCCGAGATTTTTGTTGGATACCCTCAGATTTTCATCGGAAACCCCAAGATTATCAATGGAGACCCCTAAAATTCTTTTGAGACAACACAGAATTTTATTTGTCACCCCAAAACTTTCAATGGAGACCCTTTACTTTTCATTGGAAACCCCATACTTTTTATAAAGCATAACGATACAAGTATTTGGAAAACATGTTAAAAAAAACATCTTTTTGGATAGAAATAATGGTTTTATTTTCTGAACAATTTCACTGAATTACCGATCTCTAAATAATCTTTCAGTGAAAAAACAAATGCAATAAATGAAAAAAATTAACAATAATTTTAAGAAAAAACAAAATAATTTTTTTAATGATAAACCAAACGAACGCAAGGAACAAATGAAGAAAAAAAATCTGAATCCACCAATCTCTACTCTGATAAAAGGGGGTCTGGGATACTCGATAGTACTCCAAAGATGATTATTTTTAGTGCACAACATCAGATTGTAAAGATAGAGGCATTTGTATCAAATCAAGAATTGCTGTTTTTCAAATCAGCAGTATTTTACTAGCCCTCTTTGTAAAAATGCTATTTATGGTTTCTATCAAATATCAAATATTTAAATAAAGCCTTGAAAAGTTTATTGCAGCCATACAATGTAAATGCAGCCAAAAAATTTCATTAAATATTTTTTTTACATTTTTGACAAAAATGATAAAATAAATTTTGGTGATCAAAAAGAAATGAACGAATATTTATAACACTTTACAATTGTGGAAAAACACTTAACAATTTTGAGTTACAATGATAAATAATCGCAAATAATATCAAAAATAATTTATTGTGGAAGACGATGCCCGGCCGCGTTAAACAAGTTCCACAAGAATCAACAGAATGAGATAGAACAGATACAGGGTAGAGTACTGATTAAACATCTACACATGTGATATTGATATTTACTCTAGTTCTGAACCCTCTAGTAATAAGTTATAAGAAATATATATACTGGAAGTTATTTTTGCGTTTTCATTAGAGTCTGACTCACGTCCTCTGTATTGGTGACCCCTGATTTTGAACATACAGTTAAACCCTATCAGTTTCGTGATCTTCTTAAACTTTGAACATTAAGTGATTCATCCGAGCATCATGAGGGACCAGAAAGAAATTCCAACCCAGTATATCGGGAAAGTCTCCGTCAATCTCAGGGATTTCTGGACAGAGGACCCCGACTTGTGGTTCCTTCATGCAGAGGCTGCCTTCAGAAACGCTCAAATCACACAGTCGAAAACCAAATTCGATCACATCGTCCAGAAGCTTCCCCAGAAGATTATGATCTCGGTACGCGGCCTGATCATGGGTTCTGCTGCCTCCTCAGAAACCCCTTAAGAGGATTTAAAGGCCAAGCTTGTCTCCTCGTATACTCTATCACGCTGGCAAAAGGTTTCCAAACTAATTCATCACCCTGGGCTGGGAGACCGCCACCCTACTGCTCTCATGGACGCCATGTTGGCCCTTCTCCCAGAGAACGAGAAACCAGGTTGCCTGTTCCAAGGTTTATTTCTGGAGAGGTTGCCCGTCGAGATGAGGGACCATCTAGTTTCAAGGGAATTCAAAAACCCTAGTGAAATGGCGTTATACGCCGATAGTTTGTGGGACGCCAGGAAAGCTATACCTACTGATCACCTCCTAGCCGCAGCGTCAACCACAACATCTTCCCCATCACGTGGTAGAGCTCAGGACCGCAGAAGCCTATCACCAAATCGCCGTAGTCAAACCCCAGGTCCGTCAAACTCTGAGTGTTATTTCCACAAACATTTTGGTCCTGCAGCCAACAATTGTCGCCCTCCTTGCAGTTTCCAGGGAAACACCAGAGCCTACGGGAGGAGGAAAAATTAAACAGCCTTCCCATTGGCGGTTATCTTGTGTACCTTCAAGATGCCCTGTCAAACAGCGCTTATTTAGTTGACACTGGAGCTTCAAGATCTGTGTTTTCCCATTGTTCCTCAGCTGCACCGAAAGGCCCCCGCCTCCTAATGGCTGATGGACTTCCAAATAAAGCTTGGGGTTCCAGATTGATTCCTCTACAGTTTGGTTCCCGCCGTTTCCAGTTCCAGTTCCTCCTCGCCGACGTGGACCAACCAATCCTAGGAGCAGACTTCCTGGCAGAGTTTGACCTCCTATTCGACACCAAGAACCGCCAAGTTCTTCAAAATCTCTCCTTTGAACCTCTTGCACCTCCTTGGTTTTCTCCTGCCGATTCCTCCGTTGTCTCTTTGTGTAAACTCCCCCCTGATGTTGCCTCTCTCCTGGATGAGTTCCCTGCAGCCTGGAATCCTGGTTAACTCACTGAGCACAACGTTGAGCATGTGATTGAAATAGAAGGGCAACCATTATATGCTCGCCCCTGCCGTTTGGATCAAGTTAAGTCCAAGCTAAAGCTGAGTTCCAAAAATTAGAATCAGGGGGGATTATCCGTCGTTCCAATGGTCCTTGGGCCTCACCTCTACATATGGTTCAAAAATCTGATGGATCCTGGCGTCCTTGTGGCGATTACCGCCGTTTAAACAATGTTACCAGACCAGGCCGGTATCCTCTCCCTAACATTTGTGATTTTACAAACAATTTAAGAGGTTGCAAGTTTTTCTCCAAACTCGACCTAGTGAAGGGTTACAATCAGGTTCCCATCATACTCTATCCTACTCCCCCAGTTCTACCCTACTCCCTAGCTCTATCCTACTCTCCAGCTCTACCCTACTCCCCTTGCTCTACCCTACTCATGAGCTCTATCCTACTCTATCCTACTCCCCCAGTTCTACCCTACTCCCTAGCTCTATCCTACTCCCTAGCTCTACTCTACTCCCCAGCTCTACCATACTCCCTAGCTCTACCCTACTCCCCATCTCTACCCTACTCCCTGGCTCTACCCTTCTCCCCAGCTCTACCCTACTCCCTAGCTCTATCCTTCTCACCAGTTCTATCTTAATACTCTATAGCTCTACCCTACTCCCCTGCTCTACCCTACTCTATCCTACTCCCCCAGTTCTACCCTTCTCCCTAGCTCTATCCTGCTCTCCAGCTTTATCCTACTCCCCTTGCTCTACCTTACTCCCTAGTTCTACCCTACTCCCTAGTTCCAGCCTACTCCCCAACTCTTTCCTACTTCCTAGCACTATCCTACTCCCCTAGCTCTACCCCACTTCCTGGTTCTACCCTGCTCCCAAGCTCTATCCTACTTCCTTGCACTATCCAATCCCCCTAGCTCTACCCCTACTCTCTAGCTCTACCCTACTCTCCTTGCTCTACCCTACTCATGAGCTCTATCCTTCTCTATCCTACTCCCCCAGTTCTACCCTACTCCCTAGCTCTATCCTACACTCCAGCTCTATCCTACTCCACTTGCTCTACCCTACTCATGAGCTCTACCCTACTCCCTAGTTCTACCCTACTCCCAAGCTATATCCTACTGCCCCTATCTCTACCTTACTCATGAGCTCTACCTTACTCCCTTGTTTTACCCTACTCCCCAGCTCTATCCTACTCCCCAGCTCTATCCTGCTCCCCAGCTCTACCTAACTAACTTGCTCTTACCTACTCTCCAGCTCTGCTCTACTTTCTAACTCTATTCTACTCCCCAGCTCTACACTACTCCCATGCTTTACCCTACTCATGAGCTCCATTATCAGCAAAAATTGAATAAAATGTTGAATAACAGAATAACTCCAAGACAAGACAATATTTATAAACACAATCATGACAAACACTTTTTAGAATATGTCTAAAGGAAAAATTAAATCAAATATACTCCAAAACAATTTATACAGACACATGTATGACAAGCACTTTTTTAAAATGCATCAAAAGAAAACATTTAATTCAACATACTATTTACATCAGCTTTGAAATACACAATTCCCTAGATATTTTCAAGGAAAAAATGTGATTTACAGTTTTCCCAAAAAATTTCTATCAAAATGTAGATTTCCAAGCTGAGCTTTTCTTAAAACTTTTTCATGTAAAACTCAACGAGGTCTTTGTCAAGACTGGAAAGTATTAAGTACTAACAAAATCTACGCTCTGCCACTACAATATAAGCAGTGCTAAAGATATTAACCATGTTAGCAACAGTAAGTCCAAAACACAAAAAAGCCATCACTGCTGATACACAAGTCTTTAGTCACATTTCTGACATGCTCAAAAGTTATATTCTGTTTTACCAAAATTGGCTGTTTCATGACAATTGTCGGAACAGGCTTTTTTTTTCAAAACTTGGGATTTGATAGGAAGGTGCAGTGTTCTGGTATTGATTATTGATTATATATATATATCAATGTAAATCTTGTAATTACATCGATCAACATTAACATAGAAACCCCAAATATATTTAGTTAGAAGATACTCCGCTTAGATTACAGTGAGAGAAGTAATCATTCCTGTTTAGCGAATGAGGTGATAAGATTGTGTCCTAGTTGAAACATTGATAGTTTACAAGATTGTGTCCATGTTTGACATTGATAGCTCAAGATTGTGTCCCGTGTTTGGAATTGATAGTTTACAAGATTGTGTCTTTGTTTGACATCTTTTTTTAACAAAATATTTATTCGTGAATTATATCATATGAACAATTTTTTAATGAGATTACAATTTTTAATATATAACTGTACTGTATTACATCAGTTCACGTTTTCGTGTTTAATTTACCCAATGTTTGGGTTTAGAAACATACGGGACTCAACCGTAGATAACAATCAAGTGTAAATTATTATTCAAATATGGAACTCGATTTTAATTGTTTGGCTTTCATGTTTAAAACTCAAGATAAGTACAAAGATGGAACAAAGTAGTTTTAATAAATATTCAGATTTTAGACTAATCTTTAATCATATATAGTTTAGATTTCAAAACTATTCAGATTTGAAACTAATCTTTAATCGTATATAGTTTAGATTTCAAAACTATTCAGATTTGAAACTAATCTTAGACTAATCTTTAATCGTATATAGTTTAGATTTCAAAACTATTCAGATTTTAGACTAATTTTAATCGTATATAGTTTAGATTTCAAAACTATTCAGAATTTAGACTAATCTTTAATCATATATAGTTTAGATTTCAAAACTATTCAGATTTGAGACTAATCTTTAATCGTATATAGTTTAGATTTCAAAATTATTCAGATTTGAGACTAATTTTAATCGTATATAGTTTAGATTTCAAAACTATTCAGATTTAAGACTAATCTTTAATCGTATATAGTTTAGATTTCAAAATTATTCAGATTTGAAACTAATCTTTAATCGTATATAGTTCAGATTTCAAAACTATTCAGATTTAAGATTAATCTTTAATCGTATATAGTTTAGATTTCAAAACTATTCAGATTTGAGACTAATTTTAATCGTATATAGTTTAGATTTCAAAATTATTCAGATTTGAAACTAATCTTTAATCGTATATAGTTTAGATTTCAAAACTATTCAGATTTGAGACTAATCTTTAATCATTTATATTTCAGATTTTAAACTCAAGATAAGTGTTGAGCTTAATGATTACGAGTCTGAAATATTAGCATGGTATCAACATGGTAAAGTTTGTGCATATTAGAATCCATGCTAAGAAGTTCAGGTTTATAGGTTACTCTGTTACTTGAGTGGGAAAAGTCCCACTCTTTCTTCACATTTCACTACAATTCCTGCTTTAAAGGGAGTGTTCGCGAAAATTTAAAGGGGGTATAGGCTTAATGCGATAAAAAAGCGCTTTTGATCGCTACTAATCTTACTTCTATCTGTTGCGTCAATAAGGAGAAAATTGTTAAAGACGTCTCACACCGAATAACTTAGCGGCCATGCAAATTGAGAAAATTGCAACATACGACTTAGACCGTAAAAAATCAATTTAATTTCAAACAAATCATTTAGATATTACAACCTATAGTCATCGATTAACTTTCGCCACATTTGTATATAGTTTATATTTTATAATATTTTATTTTTTTTAGAAAACTTTTTCAACGGATTTCGAAAATTGTGAGTGGTGTGCGGCATTCTAAGATAGTTGCGCAAGCGACAAGAGAAATAAACAAATAAATTAAAAAATATTATAAAAACTTAAAACTTAAAACTTAAAAACACACAATTCCCGGAAAGTCTCAACCCAAACACTAAAAACAGTGCCTGCGGGGATGGGATCGCCCAGGGTGGGTATCTGTGCAGAGGGTACAACTTTAAGTAAGTGGACGCACTTAGCTGTTGCTGATACGACCGCTCTCATACCTTTGTCTGAAAGATGGACACAGTCTGTAAATAGCATACTTATCATACCCCTGGAGACCCAGTCATCACGATGACTGAAATCCTCAGGGGTCAACACGATAGCTTCTTTAAGAGAAGCTAAATGCGAAAAATAAGTACCTAACCTTACAACCTCGGTGTTGAAGAGGTTAAAATCGAAATTGGCAAAAAAATGTCCAGACTGTGTTCAGCATGCATTAGGGTATCCAGGAAAAGGCGGTATAAAAATCACTTTTGCACCAGTCTGTTTAACACAACTCAAAATGTTCTCAGCAAAAACCCCAAAATTGTCAAAATACTCAGGGTCATACGAAGCTACCTGCTCCCGATGCGCTGAAACCAGCTGGTTTCCAGGAAGGTTCATGCTTCTTGAACTTAGGGGTTAACATCCCGTGAAGAAGGCTATTGAAAAAAAACTAATGATGGATTAAGGACTTGTTCAGAGAAATGAAAAACCAAGAAAACAAAAACGAATTATTCAAAATTGTTCAAACGGTCTTGAAAAAAAAATGTTTAATATGAACTGATTTGAGACTTGAGTTGGGATAAATAAGTAAAGTTAAAAAGTGCATAAAAAATAATAAAATTGAAACTGTTGGTATGTGACAGTTAGTTATCAAATTTATGATTTAGCTCATAATTTGAACATGATTTCAGATCAATCTGAGTTTAATCTTAAAGGATGAATTCTGGAGGTTAAAAAATTTCTTTTCCTCTTTTAATTCTCAAATTAAGTAAAAAAAATGTTTAAAAATAGAAATTATTGATTTAAAATAAAGGAAAGTTCTGATAATAAAATTTTGCGATGAGTTTAAGAATTAAGACCTCTGAAATTGTATTTAGATTTAAGTCTTGGGAATAAACTTGATTTTTATAAATTATAAGGTGTTAGAAGAAATTTTATTTCCCTTGGAAAGTTAAAAGAAAATTGTAAAATTAATTAACCCTATTCCTGCCGGGGGGGGGGGGCAATTTGACCCCCCCCTGTAGTTTTTTTTACATAACTCAAAAAGTATTGGTCTGAGGCTGTTGAAATTTTCTGAATTTTCCTACATACCCAAAGCCCTCCCTTTAGGCCTAAAACCGGGCTTTAATACTAACTGCCTGAGTCCTTAGGCACACTGCCTGAATGACTGCTTTTTCCTGTAACAAACTAAATCTTTGTTTTGACCCACTTCCACTTGTCAGATTTTGATAAAATTTAGCTTTTTGGAAAGCCTTTGACATAAGGAAACGAATTGCATAAGTTTTGCGAAAAAAAATTGCAAATTTTTTGCAAACAACCTGTCAAAAGAAATTTGCACATTTTTAGTTTTTCTTGATTAAAATTCAGGTTATTTAAAATTTTGCAAAATTTTTTGCATATTTAAAATGGCATGGTCAAGGGCTTTTAAAAAATGTATAATTTGTCATTTTTTGGACAAATTTTTTTTTGCAAACATTTTTACTTTATAACTGGATTTTGCGATAAAAATTCATTTTTTGCAAATTTGCAAATTTTTTTGCAGATTCTAAAAGTAGAGCACAAGAGCTTTCCAATGATGTATCATTTGTCATATTTGGAGTGGACATCAAACATGGGATTTAGAGGGGGGGTCAAATTGACCCCCCCCAGCATATCCTGGTTTTAAAGTACCCCAGCAGAGATAGGGTTAAGATTGGAATCCCTGAAACCAGAATTCAATGAGTTCTATTGCTCGTTATTGGAGGATTCAGTGTAGAATTTGTCTTGAGCTGCTTCGAGCTGAGTTCCTGCTTCCGGATTCTCCTGATTTTCCTGCGCCTGATTCTCCTGATTCTCCTGCTCCTTATTCTCCTGATTTCCTTGCTCCTGGTTCTCCTGATTCTTCTGCTCCTGATTCTCCTGTTTCTCTTGATTCTCCTCCTGATTTTCGTGATTGTCCTGATTCTACTGCTTCTCATTCTTCCGATTCTCCTGGTTCTCCTGCTCCTGATTCTCCCGATTCTCCTGCTCCTGATTCTTCTGATTTTCCTGCCCCTGATTCTGTTGACTCTCCTGATTCTCCTGATTCTCCTGCTCCTGATTCTCCAGATTCTCCAGCTCCTGGTTCTCCAGATTCTCCGGCTCCTGGTTCTCCTGATTCTTCTGCTCCTGTTTCTTCTGATTCTTCTACTCCTCATTATCCTGCTCCTTCTGATTCTCTTGATTCTCCTGATTCTCCTGGTTCTCCTGCTCTTGATTCTCTTGGTTCTCCTGCTCCAGATAATCCTGACTCTCCTGATTCTGATTCTCTCGATTTTCCTGCTCCTTATTTTTCTGATTACCCTGACTCTCCTGATTCTCCTTCTCCTGACTTTTTTGATTCTCCTCCTCCTGGTTCTCCTGATTCTCCTGATTTTCCTGCTCCTGATTCTCCTTATTTTAATTCTCCTGCTTCTGGTTCTTTTGGTTCTCCTGATTCTCCTGATGGTAGAGGACTTTGCACAATTGCTGTCACATATCACAGTTTGCATTTGGTCCATCAGGTTAGTTTTTGAGGTTGTAAAAATTGGTTTATTATTTCCTTGCAAACAGAACTTGTCATTGGTTGAAGTTTAATATAAAAGTCGACTAAATGTCAAGAACATGTTTTCAAAGTTGACTAAATGTCAAGAATATGCTTCAAAAGTCGAATAATTGTCAAAAATATGTTTTATAAGTTGACTTAATGTCAAGAATGTGTTTTATCAGTAAACTAAATATCAAGAATGTGTTTTATAAGTAAACTAAAAGTCAAGACTATGTATTATTTGTTAACTAAATGTTAAGAATCTGTTTTATTACTAAACTAAATGTTAAGAATATGTTTTATTACTAATCTAAATGTCAAACATAAGTTTTATAAGATGACTTAATGTCAAAAATCTGTTTCATTAGTAAAAAAAATGTCAAGAATATGTTTTATTAGTAAACTAAATGGCAAGAATATGTTTTATTTGTAAACTAAATCTCTAATCTAAAATGATTTTAAATGAAGATTGAAGCCTCATCGTTATCAAGTTCTTGGAAAAAATTAATAAAAATAAATTGATTAAAGCTATTTACTGGGAGGCAAACAGATAACTAGAAGTGGTTGAGTCCAATTAATTCCAACTTTGTAACTAGGGATGTTAAAGTTTTCATTTTTTTTAAACAATCATTTCGTTCTGAAAGCGACGACAAAAAAACAAAATGAAATGAACATTTTTAAAAACGAGTTTTTTTTAAAAGTTTGTTTCTTTAAAATGGTCGTTTTCGGAAGGATCGTGTTTAAGAAGATCGTTTTGCAAAATGATAGTTTTTATAAAGTTCGTCATTTCATAAACATAACATTTGTTAATGATGTTACTTTGTTAACAATAGTTAGCGACAACCCTTCATTAAGGATCATTAATGAAGAGAGGAGGAGAAGAAACCGCCCTGAAGGGCATCGGTAGTTGGTACTTATTATTGAGCACTTTTAAAAAAAATATCCAGAAATTTAAGCTCCCCCACAACTTTTTACCTTCATATAAGAAGACATTTGATAGAGTTGCATGTCATTTTTTTCAATAACGATGGTTTCTTCAAAAAGGATAGTTTTTTTAAAACAATCGTATAGAAACAATTGATTTCAATAACAATCGTTATTTGTTTTCTAAAAGTTCAAAACGAGGGATCATTTTCAAAACAATTGTAAGGCTTTTTTTATAAAAGGAATAGCCAGGTTTTGTATTTAAAAGAATTGTAAGGTTTTTCTAATACAGGGATTATCAGGTTTTGTTCTTCAAGGGATAGCCAGGTTTTATTTTAAAGGGTTTGTTATGATTTTTATTAAAGGGATAGCCAGGTTTTGTTGATACAGGGATTGTCAGAATTTGTTATTAATTGTATTGTAAGGGTGTGTTATTAAAGGGTTTGTAAGGTTTTGTATTTAAATGAATTGTAAGGTTTTGTATTTTAAAGAATTGTAAGGTTTTGTTATTAAAATTTAGGTTTGTTGTTAAAGGGTTTGTTTGTTTCCATAAACAATCAGTACACCAACTGTGATCGGAATTCTAATCAAATATTGAAATCTCTGTAACTAAAATTTAACCCTATCTCTGCTGGGGTACTTGAAAATCCACTGTTTGATGTCCAAATATGACAAATGATACATCATTGGAAAGCTCTTGTGCAATTCGTTTCCATATGTCAAAGGGTTTCCAAAAAGCTAAATTTTATCAAAATCTGACAAATGGAAGTGGGTCAAAACAAAGATTTAGTTTGTTACAGGAAAAAGCAGTCATTCAGGCAGTGTGCCTAATGACTCAGGCAGTTAGTATTAAAGCCCGGTTTTTGGCCTAAGGGGAGGGCTTTGGGTATGAAGGAAAGATAGAAAATTTCAACAGCCTCAAACCAATACTTTTTGAGTTTTGTAAAAAAAAACTACAGGGGGGGGGGGGTCAAATTGACCCCCCCCCCCTCCCAGCAGGAATTGGGTTAACTGGAAAATTAGCTTTAGCCATGATCATCCGGATATATGGAACTTTTCATCTGAGGAGGCTTTAACCTGCATTTTAATCTCTCTAGGGGAGCAAGATTAACAATTTGTTAACAATTTAAATTTTTATTTTTTTCCCTAGATTTTTTACAAAACAAATGAACAATAATCTTTTAATTACAATAATAAAGTAAAATAAAAAAATAAATAAAAAAAGTAAGATTAATAATAGTTTTATTTTACTTTGATTAGAAAAAGAAAAGTAAAGGAAGAAACCCCTTACACTTGTACATTAGGGTTTGCCATAGAATCACATCAATTTCCAAATCAAATTCTTGATGTGAGATCAATTATATTTCTTTTAAATTTTAAGTAAAACAAAAGTTTAAGATGAAAAGATTTATTCTATACAAAACAAGACTTCAAGGTATGTTTTAAAACGATATTGAAAGTAGAGAATTAAATTTAGCCAAATTTTCTGAACGTATCATCCTTTGTGGGTAACCCTGTAAATACACATATTATTCATTTTTGTGGTTGGCTTTACTGAAATTTGTCTATCAGATACTGTAGAACATCTTTGTCAAATGCCACAAGAGCAATTGTTAAAGAGTATTGAAACAGCCTTCGTAAACCAAACATAAGATAAGATGATGTGTAAATATTCAGATAGTTATGAGCAGCTATAACTAGACCTATGAGACCTCCTACTATTACAATACTGCTTGATCTCAGATACAGAAGCTTTATAATCTTTATAATGTAGTTTAAATTGTTTTCCCTTTGGTCATGTTGAACTGTCATGTTTGGCAAGTTTTTGGCAAGAACAATTTTTACTTTTTCAGATGGTTTTTCTCCATAGGTTTTTACTATTGGAGTAAACTGCAATGAATGTCTTCTTTTCTGATTGTCCCCAGATCGAAATATTTCTGGGAGAGATTCAGACCGTCGTAGATTTCTTTCTGGTCTTATAGGTTTAAGAATTCCTAAAGCACAGGTTTTCACAGCAGTAATAGCTGGCAGTGCAGTGGTTATATTGTCTCCAGTTCCAGATGTTATTTCATCTACGCCAACATTTCCAGTAGATGAATGATTAATGGATCCTTCTGCAGCAGCTAAACCTTGCACTGCTAAAGGAAGAGAAGTAGCCGCAGAAGCAAGAACAGCATCAGTATCAAATGGTGCAGAAGTTTCACAAGAGATACTTGAAGCTATGTTCCTAGAACTAGCCACATTTTGATTCATTGATGGGACCAGAACAACATCAGTGGAAGATGCAGTAGCTGTTAGTTGTGCATTAGCCAGAGGGACAGTCTTCTTTTTCTTAATCAGAACAAACATAAATCTAACCACCTCCAAAACAAAGGCTCCTAGAAGTAACAATTCAACTATTGGTATAGGGTGGCAAATATGTTTTTTTCCATTACTCTCTTTTTTTCCATCCTCGAGACTGGTAATGTTTACCTCAGCAGATGGTCTCTTGAGACCTAACTCACTGTACAAGTTTATGATGATGTTGTGATCTGGTAGATCATCAGTATTATAGCAGGATATCCAGGTGAATGTAAGATCAAAGCAACAGACAATGATCATGCTGACTATAGATATCAAAAGTCCATGGGTTGGGTTTATGTTATGGAATAATACAGGATTTGTATACAGTAGCAGTCTTCCAGCAGATAGAGCTAAGCCAGTAACGCATTCCATCACTCCAGTTACTCTCATCGATAGAAAAGTTAAGGCCAGGAATGGGTAGTAGTCAACAAACAATTGTAGGTCAGTATGGAAGAAGCAGGTCACAAAGGTCATGAAGAAGTTTCTTGTAGTTCCGAGGAGCATGGTTATCACCAGCAGTATCAGAATCCTGTTTAACAAGTTTTTCTGCACAATGGGCCTCGTACTTAAAAAATCGAGAATGAAAAGTGAGGCAATAACAGTCAAAGTGAAGCCTAAGAACTCTACCACGAAGGTGTACTTGTTTGGCAGCCCAGGAACCATTACAATGAGGCTCAAATATCCGGTAAAGCAGAATAGCTTAATCACATTGGTAAACATAATTTTATTAAAATTCTGTCCACCTGGTTGTATGATGGTTAGATTAAGAGTGACCTAACAGATTCTTGTTAAGAGAACTGTATCCTCCATCTATATAAAATATCTAAACATATATATTAGATTTTTATTTTTAACAAAATTTAATTAAAATAAACAGAAGTAAATTTATTCTCTTGTGCGCTGTTGAACCTTCTTTTAAGATGATCATTCATTTGTTGTCTTTTCCTCTCTTGTAGATCTATGCATTCTAAATCCTTGTAGACATGGGAAAAATGCTGTCCTGATGATACAATTTTGGGTGAAGTTTTTGCCATGCAGTTTTGCAATTGGATTTTAAGTACACCAAAGCAGTGCTGGAAACTTTCCAATTTTTTCAAGCAATTAGTTAATGTTTATTTCCAACCGTAAAAAAGCCCTAAGTTTTAAAGGTGAGAACGGATTGTATGTTTTGATAATGGTATTTTCCGTTTTTTAAAAAAGTTCCTATTTGCTAACGATCTCAATTTAAGAAGATATTTTAACAAATGTTTACAGTGCCAGCTTTTGATGCTTGTTTTTTCAACTATTTAAAATTGTTTGTCAAATCATTAATGGGCAAGTTTCATGCAATTTTAAGCAGAAAAAAAGAACAAAATTCACAGTATTTTAAAAACACATCAGGTTCCGTATTTATAGTTTTTGTTTTCAACCATTAAGTTTTTATCAAAAACTACTTATCCCTTTTATAAATGATTTTAAAATTAACGGTTTTCAGTGTTCTTTAATAAACTCTTCCTCTAATTAATAAAACCTCTGTTTTGTTAACTGAACTTCACCCAGCCCTACCCATAACTTTAGTCTGCTCCTAATGCTATTCCTGCAATGTAATGTTAATTCCTGCTAACCTGTCATTAGATTTGGCATTAAGAATAGATTTGTACCAAAATTGCATTGCTTTGTTGTACTTGGACTTTTTATAAAAAAAAATACTTTTATTTTTAAATTGTGTTTTTAAAATCATTTCTTATATGTCATTAGATTTGGCATTAAGAATAGATGTGTACCAAAATTGCATTGCTTTGTTGTACTTGGACTTTTTATAAAAAATACTTTTATTTTTAAATTGTGTTTTAAAACCATTTCTTATATGTCATTAGATTTGGCATTAAGAATAAATTTGTACCAAAATTGCATTGCTTTGTTGTACTTGGACTTTTTATAAAAAAATACTTTTATTTTGAAATTGTGTTTTAAAATCATTTCTTATATGTCATTAGATTTGGCATTAAGAATAGATTTGTACCAAAATTGCATTGCTTTGTTGTACTTGGACTTTTTATAAAAAAATACTTTTATTTTTAAATTGTGTATTAAAATCATTTCTTATATGTCATTAGATTTGGCATTAAGAATAGATTTGTACCAAAATTGCATTGCTTTGTTGTAATTGGACTTTTTATAAAAAAATACTTTTATCTTTAAATTGTGTATTAAAATCATTTCTTATAGTTGTTTTATGAGATTATGTCATGATGAGTTCATTTGGTCTCCAAAAACAAATCAGAAGCAAATAGTATTCATCTTAACATTGAGAAGAACACTTTCATACTTTTGATTATGTAATCACATTAATTTTTGTTATGAAAAATATGAGAACAAATAGTATTCATCTTAACATTGAGAAGAACACTTTCATACTTTTGATTATGTAATCACATTAATTTTTGTTATGAAAAATATGAGAACAAATAGTATTTCTGCGACTAATCTGAATATTTTTCATTGAAGATATTGTTTTGTAATCTCTTTAATTTGTTGCTTGTGTTTGATAAGATATAACTTTGCATAAATTCCATGCTCAAATGTAAACAAATAAGATGAAATAATTTTCTATATATGTCTTCTTGTGATGTTAATCATATTATATATTATATTTAAATCAATCATACAGATAACTGAAAATATGTGAGTCTAATTGTTTCCATTTTTATCAGACGTCAGACTGTAACAATTGAACTTATGCCTTAATCTGTTTATTTTTAAAGGAATAAATAGCTCTCAGAGACAACTATGAAGATTAAAGATTATGCATAGAAGCCTAGATGACTTACTAACCCACTTACATTTTTGCAGCCCTGGACATGAACATCACAAGTATTTGTTTTTAAATTAATTTGTAAAAATTTAAATTGCTTATTCCTCGTTAGTTCTTTTCCCAATCATTCCATCCACGCTCTGTTCTTGGTGTTCTTAGTTGAGAACGGTTTCATCCCGTTCCGTTAAGTTCTTGGTGTTCATTTTGCTTCATTTGGTTTTGAAAAAAAATCCTAAATTTTCGTGCAATAGAAAATGCAAAAGTTTCACGAAAAAATGAAAAAAAAAATCTGAAAAGATGCAAAACTTTTGTGAAAAAATGCGAAAATTTCAAAAAAAAAAAATAATTCAAAAATTTCACGCAAAAAAATAATGAGAAAATGTGCAAAAAGAACGAATTTTTTTAAAATAAAGCAAAATTTGAGTTGCGAAAATTCATCAAAAAAGATAAAAATTTGAGAATACAAGACTCATTTGCAAATAGGGATTTAACCGCAAGCCCAATTTATGGATTCAAGAACGGCTAGGAGACATAAGACATTTCGCGAAATTTTTGCATTTCATGAAAATATTGCTGCATTTTGCATTTTGCGAGAACGTAAGAAATTTCGCAAAAAAGTTTGGGATATGCATTTTTTGCGAAACATTTAGTTTGCTGGAAACCCTAGTTACGAGTGGTTGTACTGGTTTGCCACTGCAGATAGCCTGACTTGAGCTTGCTTGGAGCCCGTTGGTAGCTGTCCTGCTGTGACGTTACATAGCCGGTACTGGGCCAATAGGTTTCCTGCAGAGCTTGCCTGGCTATCCCTTTTATTAACAAATTCTGACAATTTCTTTAATACCAAATAAATAAAATCCCTTTAATAACAAATCCTTACAATCCCTTTAATAACAAATTCAGAAAATCCCTTTAATAACAAATTCACACAATCCCTTTATTAACAAATCCTTACAATCCCTTTAATAACAAAACAGACAATCACTTTAATAAAAAACTTGTCAATCCCTTTAAGAACAAAACTTGAAACTCCTTTAATAGCAAATGTATGATCAGCCTTCGTAAGAAAATAAATGCCTTGTTAAAACATTCTTAAAGATAAAATCTACCATAAGGAGTTCTTATTAAAAATATTTTTAATATTTCTCCTTATCTAAAAGTTAATCCTTTAAACCTCTTTACTTCAGAAACATGAAAGCTTTTAATATACAACTGTTGTTGATTTAAATCACTAAAACAGGGAAATAAGTGATGTTCGATACATTCTAACAATTAACAAGTTTTATAACGTTTTAAAGTAGTTCATTTTTATTTATAAAACTCTTAATAGAGTAACTTGCTGGAAAAAATAATATAAAAGTTCTTAGTTCTATAGCAGCCGCTTCAATTATTTTGTTCAATCTGTGTAATTCACGTAACTTTAAACATCTTGAGACATTAGAACCCGAAAGTTTTTTTTCGAGAATGATAAAGAATGATAAAGATAAAAAATGAAAATGTTGTACACTTTTCACGCTGTTATATATATTTATATATTTGACAGCAATTTTTCGGTGTCCATTCTAACAAAAGTTGTATTCTAATCAAATCACAGAAAATGAAGAAAAAAAATTTAGCTTGTACACCAGCCTGTACACCAGCCTGTACACCAGAATGATTTCCCTCGGATTGGAGGTATTGCAACATTCATGCGTCATCCATTCCATCCTACTCAAAGACTGTTTCAGGGGGGGGGGTGGTAGTCCATTACCACCCCCCACCATAAGTGAAAGTAGGAGGTGGCCCCCTGGATTTTTACAAAGTCATTTCCCATTTAAACTATAATTTTTATCAATTTATGTATATAAATAATAAAGTTTTTTGAAAGTGACAACATTGTAAAAATAAACATATATATATCAATGAACAGGTCATCTATTGTGAATGACAGGTTGGTCAACCTGGGAAGAATGGCGAGTGCACCCAAAGAGACTGGTCTTGATCATTGAAATCAGTTTTAAATGCCTTTATTTCAATCAGCCCAGGAAAATAAAATTATTGTAGATTAGAATAAAGGAGGATATTTAGAAAAAAATTGTATTTTGGACAAAAATTCTTTCATTTATTTCTTTTATGTTTATTTTTAACTCTAAAAATCTCTAAAAATAAACTTTGAAACTACTACAAGAAAAATGTATAATGTTAATGTATAAAATTCAATCAATAATATTTTTTTATATCGATTTTTAGATAAATAAATGGATTATTAAGACATTTGACTATCCTATACTATAAAGAAACTGTAATTTTTGTAGGGTTAGAGCGGCAAATAAAACTTTTTAGCAATAGAGGGGTGGGGGGAAATTTCTTTTTATAAGATTACTGGGGGGGGGGGGGGGAAATTTTTTAAGGGGGGGGAATATATAAAATATTTTTTTACCCCCCCCCCCTATCTAAAATCCGGAAACTTACGTAGCACTTATTATATACATACATAGCACAAAGCTTATTTTATTTCAAAATTGTAATTTCTTTAAATTTGCTTTAACCATATATCTTCAATGTTTCTAACAACTAAATCGCTTATAACAATAATTTTAATTTTTTTATTTTTCTTTAAATTAAGTTAAAAGCAAACTTTTTGATTAGACAATATGAAATATCACAAATGTTTGTAGAGACATTAAAAGAAAGCAATGAATTATGAAGCTCATCTCAAGAATTTAGATACATCTGGTTAATAACTCAACAATTTAAAAAAAAATTTTCTATTAAAAGAATATTTTTAAGTTCAAATTTATGCTTCTATTTATTTATTAATCATAATTTTACCAAATTGTAAACCTTAAAAATTTATTATTTTGTCATTTTTTCGACTTTGAGATGATAAGTTCTCAAATAAGAATAATAGAAGAATAAGATTTGGAGCAATAACTTTCCTAAGTTTCTAACCTAAAATAAAAAGCACTGTTTCTCTTAGAAGAAAAAGTTTTAACTTACTTTGAAAAAAGAGAGTATTAGTAAATCGACGATGAAAAGAACTTAGAACGAAACGATCTTTTTCAAAAACAGTTGTTTAGTGAAGTTTGTCATTTTGTTAACTACTGTTAACAATGACCTTTGTTAACAATAATTAATGACTATTCATATATATATATATATATATATATATATTATTTTTCGGGCAGCTGTGGATTATTAATTATTTATGGTCTTTATATGTAACACTAGTGAATTTTATGAATAAAGAAATTGTTTATTCAACATTGTTTAAATAAAATACTGACTTATATCATTAATGTGAATGCCGCTGTAAGATGTTTAAAAATGTATTAAAAGGTATAATTTTACAAAAAATAGGTCACTAAATGTTGTGCATATACAGCTTAAATAGAAAACTGACATTACAACATACAATTAAAATATAAATGGTAGGATTCTTCTTGTTTTAACCAATTGTTCATTTGTAGGATTAGATGGTGCTTACTGCTCTCTACTAGCAGAACCGCTATCATCCATCTTTTACTGCCCAACGCCTGTTATTCCTGGAACTCTGACATAGGTTGTCTTAGCTCAGGAAACTCCAGAACTAGATGATTTTTTTATCAAATCTTATCTAGATCAAAGATTTTAGAATTTAAAGTTATAAACTTTAATTTTGTATATCATTTATTTCAAATTTTTTTTCATATTTTATAATAGAAAAGAATTTTACACTAATCATTTCTAATTAATTTTTTGTTTAACTTAAAAATATTTTAAAAGTTTTGAGTATTAAAATGTTAAACTAGATTTTGAAGAAAAAAAATAGATAATTATTATTGTTTATTTTTAGATTGCATATAATTGATACTTTTCACCTGTACTTGTCTCTTAGGTTCTTCGTTTTAAGGAGATTTTTTTTTAAATCCTGAACTAAAGCTTCCTAAATAGCTTCGATTAATTTTTGCAATAGAATCAAGTAAAGTTACATACAGTTTGAATAAAACTCATTATACCAAAAAAAATTGGAGAATAAATGTTTACTAAGACATTAATTACCCAGTTTTATAGATATCTTATTTTCTTTCCAAACTTAAAATCTTGATACAAATGTTGAGGATGGATTCATGATTTGGATACAGGTTGGATTTGATTGCTGATTCAATCTGGATACAAATGTTAAGGATGGATACCCATGTTAGGGTTTGATTCAAATGAGCAAAAGTTATAATCTTGGATAAGAATATTGAGGATGGATTGTTGATCTAATCTTGATACTAATGTTAAGAAGTATTGATACAAATGTTAGGGTTTGATTCAAATGAGCAAATGTTATAATCATGGAGCCTATAAAATTGTCATTTTTAGATCTACAAGTCTAAGATTGGGCTTGTTCAATAGGAAATTATATGTAGTTTTAAAAAATTTTCTCAACCTGGAAATTCGATTACAAACGATTCCCTGTTTTTTTAGACACCCTGTAGATATATTATACCAAAGAACATTTGAGAACATAATGTTCCTTTATCCAAATATATACTTACCATGGTTATATTATAGTTATTTATCATATGTATTGTGTTTAATACATCCATTTATTAAGAATAATCTGATTTACATTTCGCATCAGGCATATTTTCTTTGTATTATTATTTTCTTTCGGTTATGATTCATAAAAGAAAGAAAATGAAAATTCTCTCAGAATCAGAGAATGAGCAGAAATTTATATAATGTATCTCAAACCTACTAATTGATTAAATTTGCACTGTTGTAAACCTGAAACTGTATGTACTTACTTCGGCAATGATTCCATTGTACAACACTTTTATAGATATGATCCATAATAAGACACAAAAATTAGTGAGAAATTAGTGCATAAGTAAAAATAGAAGATAATCATGATGATGCAGATATACAAAGTAATTACTCTCTACCAAACCAATCTATTTGTGTTAGTGTACTGCACATCACTGCAGTATAAATCAAAGCTTAGATTGTTCAGCAGAATTGTGGAACTTAGGTATTATAGACTTACCATGGTGAATTACTATAATCTTATACAAAATGTTACTGAGCCGTTTGATTTTTAGATTTTGGATATACATACTAAACCTGGTCCACTTTTCTTTTTTTTAAGTTCAATAATTAGTTAAACTATTTTCTTTCTATTAATATTTTCTTTCAAATATGATTCATATAAGAAAGAAAATAATAACAGTTCTTTTGCTATACTTTTAAAAGTAATCTTTTGTTTTGCAACATCATAAAACTTATCATACAAAATTTTAAAAATTTATTTGATTATTATTTTTTGTCATGATCCAAATGAGTATGAATCTTACCTGATGTCTGTTCTAACTTGTGAGTGAATATTAAAAATCTTAGACCTTTCAAAAGTTATTGTTAAGCAGCACTTACCAATACAGCTAGACAATTGCTGAGGAAACCAAACTACGGAATTGTTGAAAGCCAAGCATTCCAACGTTTGATCTTAATACATTACACATGAAGATGTTTTAATTTCTTAAAAAATTAAGTGGAAATATGGGTAATAAAATTTGCCTGTATATACAGTAGAGTCCCAACCCAAAGGATCTGGCAAGCCTTCAATGTATCCACCTTTAGTACATTTGTAAGTGACTGTATCCCCCACCTCTTTCCTTCTTCCAGGCCAAATTATCTCCATTCCAGGCAGAGGACTAGGTGGAGTCATTTGACAAGACATTGCTAAAATAGTCAAACCTTTAGATACGGCAGATTATGCAATATGCATTCTTATATAAAATTTAGTATCAATCAAAATTTTTTTTTATTTTTGCCGGAATGGCAAAAAAGATTATATTGGATTGTTGGGTAAAATTGGGAGGAACAAAGGAGATAGGAGGAATGATGTAGATGAAGTTGATATGTATGAAGGTGGGGGTGGTAGCTGTTGTATCCAATCTATCTATAACCATTCATCTAACTTTCTCTCTCTTCTCTGCTATCTGGTTGTTTAATGAGCACTATGATTTATTGTTTATAATCCACGATCACAGGTAGAATAAACTCGCTTTAAAGTAAGCCAATTGCGAGAGGCTTAGTGGGATTTCTTAGCAACACTACATGGTGGTGTGTGTTCTTTTTACTGGTCGGGCTTGTACTACTTAAAATCCTGGTTCAATTTCAGGGTAAAAATAGCAAATAACAATTTACAAGATAAACAAACATAAATATAGATTGAATGATAAATTGATAAATTGATACATCATTAAATTAATAATTCTTGTTTTGGGATATAACCACCCCTAAACCACAGGTAGAGAAAAGATAGAAATCCAAGCACTAGATACAACTGGTGTATATAAAGGTTTTCTAAAAAGGCATTCATGAAACAATAATACATCATTAAATCATAATACTTTGTTTGCTAGTTGTCATTTGTCATGTAAAAAAGTTGGCAATAATATTAAACATTTCTTTCTGATTTTATAAGTAAATTCCCAAACTGTAAGAATCCCAAATGATAAGAATCCCAAATGAATGTTAACCAATGTTGGGATTGGAAGGATTGGGATTAGGATGAGGACTAGGAAGTCGGAATAGGTTGGACAGGGATAAATTGGGAATAGATAAAATAGGTTGTGAATTGGGATGGATACCAACTAAAGAGGAAGTTGGGATTGGGATTCAATGAATGTGAGGATGATAAAAGGGTTGGTATATCGGGGGTTGGAGTAATTGGGAAGATTGAGTAATGAATAGATGTTCTAGGGGGACCACAGTATTGGAAAGAGAATCAGCAAGATATAGAAGTTCAGAACAGAGATACAGATATAATAAAATACGTGTAAAAGACTATGGAGAATATGTAGTTTAGTTGATACAAATGTTAATAATGGGTGAAGACGACATTTTGGAAGGAATTAGTGGATTACTGTTTAGTTGGGATAAGAGAGAGAAAAGAGTATAAAAATCATCATTAGAATCATTCAATACTCTGAAACATATTATATATTCATTGTCCTATGTCATTATAATTTTGTATAATGCATTGCATTCCCTAAAACTTTGAAACAGAAATTCCAATGAATAAGACAATCCTAAACAGTCTTGTGACTAGGCTAGTTTATTAAGTTATAATTGAATCTTGAACTTTTCTGTAATACCTTTACATCCAGGAGGTTTATCTGTATTACTCCATTGTCCATTAGGCTGGCATTTGTTGTACCAATATGGATATTCTCCAGTTGTAAACATGCCTCCTGCTGGGCATGTATATCTAAATCAAAGTTTATGTTATAGAATTTTACTGTAGTTCAAAATTTTAATTTAAAATTGACAAAATTCCCTGGTTTCATTTATCCCAATAAGAAGCTCTCCACCATCATGAGGAGGAGGAGGATATTGAAGACATCTTAATTCTAGTGAATATCATCTGGTAAGTAAAGATTAGTCAAGTGATCATTTTTCTTTATATATCAATACCTGTACAATTTTCAACTTCTGTTATGTTCCAATTCCCAGAATCATTGCACGAGGCCCAAGTTTCATTACGAACAGTTGAAGGATATCTCCAATTACTATTATTGCATGAATATTGGACAAGAGTAGCAAATGGACCAGATTTTCCAGGAACCTCTATCCAAACCCTTGTTCCCATAGGATCTTCATAGGATGGAGGTAATTTACAATTCTTATCTACAAACAAAATACAGTTTTCTTACAATGAAATATTAATAAACAAAGCACTACATAGCTTAGAAAGATCATTATTTAGATTTCAATAAATCTAGTACTTACGGATACAAGCAAAAACTGATGGCTCAACAGGTTCATTGCTGATATTATTTTTCCACTTCAGATCAGAATCACAGAAGATTGTGAAACCAGAAGGATTCTCAAGATATTTATTTTGGTAATAGGCTGAATAGTTTGAAGGACAAATAAATGAGATTTTCCTCATATAATTGTTCCAGGTGTTAGGTGAACTCTTTTTAATTTCTTCTAGATTATTGATAAGAATCTTTGAAGTAGTTGGCGAGAATGGAATTTCATCTTTAGGGCAATGTATAGCTAAAATAGGCATAGATGATTTCAAAGAACATGATATTTAAACAAGGACCTTTATTAGGAAAACTACTTACGTGTACAAAACTTGGATGCATTAAAAAAAGTTTCTGAAATCCAAGTCCCATTTTTACATGTCAAACTCATTGAAACCATTTCAGAGTGATCATACTTAAAACCTTTGGGGCAATTGTAATGAACTGTTTGGTTTTCAGGAAATATTGAATATAATGTATGAAGATCAGCAAGGTTGTTCTTTACATAAACAGTAACCAAATCTGTCAAATTGCCAGGATCATATTTCCATTCAGGTTGATGTCGCCTTTTTCTAATGGCAGATAACTTGTACATTGAACCATTTTCAGACATCTCTGAGTCAAACCAACTCGACATGAATAAAGTACTCTCCAGATGATTCAGCATTGAATTATTAAAGGATGGAGTTGGTGGAGGTTCCAGACACACAATTGGTATTTCTTCTTTAGGACAGTTTCCATTACATATGGCCCAGTTAAGTATGTTACCATCATCAATTACTGAAAACAAGTTCATTACAAGTATTTGAATTGTCCTGGTAGGTATATTTGGTTTTTGCTAAAAATCATTTTTATGCATACAAAGATGTTGGGGAAACCTTTTAAACCTTTTTTTGAAGAGCTTTCATTAATAAAATTGAACCTGTTGGGCACCATGGAAGATAAATATCCTGGGTAGTGCAGTAATTGTATTCAACCTCCTTGTAAACAAATGGAAATATGCATTGAAATCCATCTTGAGCTATACATATTTCATGTTCACAGAGAGCAAAGAGTTCCTTTTGATTATTGATTGCTGTAATAAGGCCAGTTTTTGAAAGTCCTTTACAACCCTAAATATAAAAAATTCAGGTAAATAAAAAAAATGTTATACTAAACTTACATTGTCTGAACATTCCGCTGGGACAGAACCATTTAACCAAACATATCTTAAGAAAACAGGGTATTAAGATATTTACTTGTTAAACAAAAGACTTAACTTACTTTGTTGTGTCCATAATCATTTCCAAAAATTCCAGTTGCAAATCTATAATTGATGCTGGAGATGATATGTAAGACCAATCTGTGCATTGTTCCTTAGAACCATATTTTGATGTACCCTGAGAGACAGAGTGGCATGTGGTTCCATTTGATCCAGGCAAATTTGCAAGGAAACCTTCAGGACATGATGGTCCTTAATATAAATTTATGGTTTTTTAAAAATACTTAGCGTACACTTAGTGTAAAATGTTAACTTACTTTTCCATAAGCAATAATACTCAAAACTGTCATTGCAATCTACTTCTGTGGGTTTAAACCCTTTTGTATTATCAAGAATGACACATTGACTGTCATTTATAATGGGAGTCATGTCAAAGTTAAAAGAATCTGCTCCAAACTCAGAATAATCTGTGTATTTCATTTTCTGGTTCTCAGAGCTCATTCCTAGGAATATCTGACTAGCGTCTCTAAATTGTGCATGCAATTTGATGAATTTGTACAATCCCTCAGATTTAATTGGTAGAACAATACTTCCTGCATTTGAACAACTGACTTTGCTTTGTGCATAAGTACCAACAGCCACTGTTTCTTTCAAACACATGTTTTTGTAGCTAAAGTAGTTGTCTGGGCAAACTTGAACAGCATATTGTGAAATAGAACAGAAGAAGTGTCTAGTTTTACTACAATCATCATTCATGACTTTCCTAAATTCATGTTAGATTTAGAAATTAGTTCTTATGTAGCTAATGGTTTCTTACATGCTTGAGTAGTTCATAAAAGCACAAAAGTGAATGTCATTTGTTGAAGGAAATCCGTCTTCCCAATTTATCTCCTCAACCCTTGCACCACTACTATCAATCCAAGTTTCTCCAGCTGGATGAACTAAATGATAAGTTGGGAATTTTAACATCTTAAAAACCCCCTGAAATCCATGGATTTCACTGGTCTAGGTGGGGGAGGGGATTGAGCCCTAAACCATGTAAAGGCTGGGGGTCTGGGGGTCCTAGAAAAAGGCCTTAGAGAATTGGTTTAGGGTTGAAATGCATGTTCATAGTCCATTTTTTCAAGGCCAGCTCATTGAAAAAAAATTAGATCGATAACTTTAATAGTACTAGGGAGGATTGAAAAAAATGGCAAAAAAATATTTGTTTTTAGACAAGTATCAAAATGTGACACATATGTTCCTACATGTTCATTTTTAATGGGCTTTTCAAAGTATGGTTTTTAGATCTGTAGCTTTTTCACACAGCCCAGACTTTTTACTGCCCTGAACCCTACCATTTAAACTTTAAAAAAATGTTTTTTTACAAAAAAATCCTTTAAAATTTTAATTCATTAAAAGTCAAATATTTCCACGTTGGTAGTGTAAAAAAGGAGAGTTCTAGGGCAAAAAAAATTAAAGGGAGGGGCATCAAGTGCCCCCCCCCTCCCCAGCCTTTTTAGGGTTAATATGCCTCTGATCTCAAACAAAAATTAAAAACAATTCTATACCTGACATTGAATCTAAACCAACCCATATTTCAGAAGAATTTAACTGTTGAGCATAAACCATCAGCATCTCTTGTATAAGATAGTTGTGTGCATAAGCAAGCTTGTGAGGTAAAAATGGGTTTTCCAACATGCAGGTCAATTCAGACATTGAGTAGTTCATTCGAGTAGTTGATAGTTTATAGCATAAGTTTTTAATTGCAAAGTACCCTGTTGGGCAAAGCTCTAATAGAGGATGATCTTCTTCAAGATAACAATTTTGCATCACATGGGTAATCTGGGATGCAGATAGATATCTTGGAAAAAGCTGGAAACAAGACATTTTTCCATGGAAGTTGTTCTTTCCATCATTGTCTTGGAGCCTAGAACCAATTCTTATTGAATCTTTTAGCATAGCAGCTATAGACCAAGATCTTATACTATCCTTTTCCTTATCATTGGTATTGTCAAGAACTTCAATAGTTTCATTTATATACAAATTCACAGTATTTGGATTATCCATAGAAAATGCAACAAATGTCCAGGATTTTCTTTGTAATGTTGAATTGGATTCAAACAAAAGACATTCCTCTGGTATACAAACTTCAACTTTTAAAGAATTTTCCTCAACAAATAAGGTTAAACTGGGAACATCATTAGACTTCTTAAAGTCTACTAATACACTTTTTTCATCAGAAAATGCTGTGAATCTAATCCACATTGATATTGTTACTCCAGTTTTCAGAGCTACTGGTTCATCTAAGATGATATCAGTAAATGAATCTATGTCACCCAGATAATAAGCCGAGTTCCTCAGACCAGTAAAGGGAACAATCTGTTCATGAAATGCCACAAAGGAATGATTCCCTTGTTGAGTTGTATTGTCCAATGGAAGTACTAATGTTGGTTGATGAATATGTTTTATCTTATAAGGATGTGGGATGGGTCTAGTTTGGCAAATATAGGGAAGAGGTTCCATGCAATCTATTGTGGAGAATTTTCTCCCTTTTAATCCTAAGCAGCTCCCAAAACCTGAAAACCATCTTGCTGAATCTATTATTTAAAATACTGAATTTAAAGAATTCTATAAATACTGTTTAGAAATACCTGATTCAAAAAAATCAGTAGGAAAATCATTCTTCCTAAAATCAGAGGAGGTAAACACAGTATTTTCAGAGTCTGTAATATTGAATATATTTTGTCTGTATCCAGTCCAAAAGTTCTGTTGATTGATTTGATTGTCTTCATAGTAAGCTTGTAGAAAGTTCACATGTAGCTCATGTTTAGGTTCAGCTAAATGTCCACCATCAGATAAACAGCTAACTAAAGCTTCTGTGAAGATTAGAGAATCATTGATTAACATGTAGCACTCCTCTTGAAACAAAATATATCCATCAGGACAAATCCATTCATTTTCTTCTTCACAAATAAATCCCTTTAAAATATTTACATCTGAAAGAGAGCTAAGATTCATCTTCTCACTGTTGATATTGATAAATCCAACAGAATTTATGTCAAAGCTATCCCAGTCACAATCAGTTGGAGCCAACATTCCTTTAGAGTTTATGGCTGTAATTAAGTTGGGAGTTAAACCAATTTTACGAATATCATAATGCTGGAAGTTGCCTACAAAATATCCAATCCAATAATTCTCCTCCGAATCTGGAGCTAATTCCCTCAAATCTTTAAGAAGATTCGAGAAATCTTGACAGCTAGATACACTAACTAATCTTGACTTTTCCTGTGAACATGACAACATTGATTTAGTATTGGACATACCAGGGGCCTTGCCCTCTACTCTGATGCACTTATTAGTTCTGAAGCCCCACCTATATCCTGCCCTACATTTTAACGCACAAATATATGGTAATTCAATAGTTTTCAGTTCTGCTTTCCATAAATAATCATGAGAAATATTCATTGTTAAGCCATATCTTTCTGTACATTTAAAATCAGGACATCCACTGTTTACAACATTCTCAATCCAATTTTCATCAATGTTTTGTAAGTCCCAAGTCCAAGAATTATTTGTTGTTGATCCTCCGATCCAGAAATTAGTTAACACTGTGGAACTATAGTGTTGTTTGGAACTAACAGTACCAATGTGATCAACTACTGCCAGATGAAATTTCTCACTTGGGATTGAGATTAGGGCCCCTCCGTCCTCAATACATTTTTCCTCAGCAGCTGTATGGTCTGCAGTAGTAACAGAAACTCTTACACAAGTGTTATTGACATCTTCATAGGTTTCTGGGCAATCTAAACTAGGTGTTAGAAAGTCAGTACAATATCCCCATTCATTATTTGATTCAATTAAATCTGTATTTTCATCTACATTCTTTAACTTTGTAGGACACCAAAAATTATCTTTCGGTTTCAGAGCGCAGGAGTCTCTCCAGATCCCATCATAGATAAATGGAATAATGCATTCTTCTCCTGACCCCGGACCATCATATGCAACCTGTCTTTCATCCATGCAAAGCCCCAATTCATTGTTCTGAACAACCCCATAGTTATCTACTGCTGTAGCACATGAAGATTCTTTCACATTGTCATATATACAAGAAGTGTGAAGCTGACTATTTGAAGATTTTCTAAATGGAAACACACATGTTTTACCCCCTTTTGTAACAATATGTTTTGCTTCACATATGTAACCTAGTTGAACCTGGCTACCATATTGACCATCAAAATAATCATCACATGTTGTCAAAGCTAATTTTCCAGTTTTGTCAAGCATAATGCATTTTTCTTCATCATTATCTTTTAGCAAGTTTCCTTGATCATTCATTATTGATTCTAACATGTATGATCTACTTCCATCTAGATATGAGATCAGAGAAAAATTTGCTCTTGCTCCAAGGGCAATAAAAGATTCTTTCCCTCTATATGCAAAATGAGATTGGTTTGGTTGCAAATGTTCAAACTCACTAATTAATAAGCTTCTAAAAGATTTAATATCTCTTGGCTGGAAGAGTCTACCACCTTCCTTCATACACTGGTCATCTGCTTGTTCTGTTGAATTCCATGAATCATGATCTGTCCTTGCAGATATCCGGAGACAAGTTTTATGATGTTTAAAATACCCAACTGGGCAGTTTTGAACATTGCAGCTACTGGAACAGGTTCCTCTGTTGTTAGTATCTTCAATATGATTTCTATGAATATCTGTTTTGAGACTGCACCATGGTTCAGTGCTGTCAATGGTTATACAGGAATCATACATTCTTCCTTTGTATTTAAAAGGGAAGGAGCAGGGTTTGTGTTCAGTTGTAATACACTCTTTGTACTGACACAGACCTCTTAATTGAACCTCATTATTCGAGCAGTTTGTCATTGCTAAACTTTGACCGACTTTAACACAATTTTCATTTGGGCGTTTTGGTTCTAATCCTAAAATTTCCTTAAACTCTGCAGATGAAAGAGTTTTATTTGAAAAGTGAGAAATATATATTTGTTCACCATTCACAATAGATCTTCTCCAGCCTAAAATAAATTCAAAAGTAAAGTAATCTAATAAAATATTTTGTAAAATTTAGATTGTAACAATTTCATCTAAATTATAAATGCTAATATTATTGTTAACATACCTATTAAAGCCTCAGACTTGGATGTCGATGAAAACCAAGTTACAAACTTTTCAACCTCTTGTTTGGATGTTGGGGCAAATAAGCTCATCCCATCCTTTGCACAATAAGCCTCTCCTGCAGACAGATAAGGCACATATTTTTGTAAAGGTTATAAGATATGTAAAAATATCTATTTTGTCTAACCTGAATGTATGTCAGCTAATCTATTGTTTCCTCCAACTACATTGCCAATTTTAAGACAAATTCTGCCCAAACTAGGAACCCAGTTATATCCTGCCGGACAGTTTGGTCCAACCGTACAAAAATACTAAACAATTAGAAATATCCATTACCAGTATTTAAATATTAAGTTCAAGCTTTATTTAATATTATGTGACTTACCTTAAATTTCCCAGTACAAGGAACAATTTTAGGTTTGTAATCATTCTCAATGTAAGCTATAGTGCAATCTCCTTCATCTACATTATCTTCAAAACTTAGTTCCATGTCCTCTAGTTTCCTACCATCGGTTTTTATCCATACCCCATCAGTTCTTGTTACTCCAATCCAAAATGATTCTCTAGCATATAAACTGAACAATTAAAGTTAGAATTACATTGTACAAAGACTGTCAAAGTAGTTTAAGTGAATTGCATATGTATACTAGAAAAACAAGAAAGAAAAAGGATGATAAATTGTAACTTAAAAAAAAATATTATCAAAATAAAATATAAATATTTTTGGTGACCTGGAGATTGTATTTTGGTAAATGTCACTAGGAGGTTGTACAATCCCATGCTTCTGGGTGCATGCACTTTGAGCTGCAGTAAATGACAAAGCTTCTTCTTCGAATGTCAAGCACTGATTACCCAAGTCTAAATTTACTCCTGTGTCAGAGCAATGTGAGTCCTGGAACCCTATCTTCCCTTCCTTTTTCCTGCAGACAATTTCCATATATACTTTATTATTTAAATGATTATATTACTTGAAATTTTAGTTTTTTTGTTTAATGAAGAGAAAGGGTTCTTTAATGTTCCTAAGACCTTTGCTGAGATTTAGGGTACCATGGTTGGGAGAAACCTTGTAGGGTTTTTCAAGATTAAAATCTGTCCTAATTTTTACAATTTGATTAATGGAAGACAATCTGCCAAACAATCAAAATCAAAGAACCAGTAATTTACATGCAGTTGCTTTATGCGTTATTACAGATTATAGCAAATTCTGAATTCTCAAGAACACCCTGCATAATTTTGAATTGCTTTAATTCAGCATTTCAAAATTGAAAACCATATGATTCATGTAAATGATATTTTATCATTATAGTTAGCTAGAGCAAAACTTTACCACTGGAATTGTTGAATGTTGCATAATGGGCTGTAAGTTGGAGTTCTGTGGCATAAATTCAAATAATCACCAATCCAGTAAAGAATCTTAACATATATTAAAAGCATAAGTAATTATGTTAACATGTGTTGAGATATTTGAGAGAGACATGTTCATTGTACAAACTTCATTTTGTACTTTGTATTTATATTTTTTGTAAGCTGATAAAGAAAAGAAATATACTGACAAAAATTTGAAATTTTACTAAAAAACATTTTTTGTCAATAAACCTTTGAAGAATTATTTCAAAACTAGATTGATAAAAGAGTCAGACATCAGCATGTAAGGTAAGTCAAAATAAACTTAGCTTTTTACATTGGCTATCAGTCACACACCTCCCCGGAAGCGATTTTGACCTCGTTGTTACGACCATTTTTCTAATTAGTATATTTACGCGTATGAAACCGAAAGAAAAACTAGTTAGAGAAGACGATGAAATCAAACTCGGTCCCATTCTGAATTGCGGCGTAAAATACCGATGGCGCGCAAGTTCAAAACTTTGAGTTTAAACAAAACAGTGAAGTGGTTGGAACTACTTAATTTTAAATATTTCTTGGGGCATATGAAACGATTCTTGACATAAAGTTATATTGAAATAGTAAACATTCAATGTTCGTTTTTGTGTAATGATGGTATTTTTAGTGGATTGACTTTTTAAATTAAAATTCGAGAACAAAGGGAAAATCTCGACATCGATAATATAAAATTGTATCTTTAATAAATCATCATAGTTGACAGTTTCTCTGGGTCACTAAAAATACCGGTTTTGGCTCTAAAAAATAATTTATATCTGTAGTTTGAGAGTATTTGATGGNGTCTTGTATTTTTTCTACATTGTTTGGTATGAATTGGAAAAATTTAAATATTTCGAATTTCTGATCTTATGAGGAGTAGATGAAAAAAATATCTTTTTCCTCAATTTCTTTGATTCAGTGAAATGGAAACCAACAGAAATGTATAGTGGGTTATTTGCTTGATATTCACATAAGCTGGTATCGTGCTAAAATATCCTGGACTTTTATGAAGTCAAAAATCCAGCATTAATTGGTAAGTCAAGGCATAAATTTTTATCAATTTTTTTTTCTTTTCCTTCAAAACTGTAAAATGAGGTTTCAAAAACACAATATAAACAAAAATAGATTCAAGAAGATTTTTTTCTAATTCGTATACTTCCTCAAAATTTTCTTAATTTAGATCCAATAGTATTTTGGCCGTAAAATCCAATGGGCCCGATGAAATATTTTGATAAAAACAGATTTGTATTCCCATGCGTTTCATTCAACTTATAAAATGAATTTTAGAGGTGGTCGTAACAACGCGCGAGGTCAAAATCGCTTCCGGGGAGGTGTGGTCAGTTTATTGCAAACTTTATTAATAATGTAAATCATACTTTTTGAATATTTTAAATTTAATTTCAGCAATTAATGAAATTATTAATATATCGAAGATATAAGAAATTGTAAATACCTCTTTATTTTCTGTTGATATTAAGATTTTCATCAGCTTTCCTTGTTCTTTAAAAACTTTAGTGATACAATCAGCTCCAGATTCTAATTTTAAATTATATAAAATTCACTGCTTGCAATTATATTCTGCATTATTACCTTCACATTTTGATGGATTTGGATCAAATGATGTAGATACTTCTTCAAAATTTATACTTTTCATATTTGTGGTTTGAATGCGAACATGCTTTATATTTTGAGCTTGAATACTGGTTTCTAATTCCAGATTATTATTTACATACACCTAAAGTTGAAGTGTCTAAATTAGCATTGCATTAAAAGATAAAAAGAATCAGGACATTGAATTTTCTAAATCTTAATCTTAAGCTTTTTCAACATACATAAGATCAGGAAAAAGTCTCAAGCAAAACACTTTGGACTTGAGTTCTAAATTGCACGTTTGCCAATTTATTTGTCTTACTTGGTAACTTCCAGAAGGGCAAGTAACATAAACATCAAATATTGAATTCTCTTGAAATACCATTTGCCTATTTACTTCATCTCCTTCAATGTTATTGCCAATTTTTAAACTTTCTTGATTAAGTTCAAACTTCAGTAAGGATAAAGTACTTTCACTGGATGACAACTCAATCAGTAACTCTAAATAAAGAATATTCATAAAAATTAGACACCAATTAAACCAGCTTTACTTTCTTCAATTTAATTTATGGAGTTTATTAAGGCTAAGGAACTGTCTTAAATTCAAGCCCCCTATTGTTTATCAAGCAGGAAAACTTTGAAATATCAAATATTAAGTCACTTTCAATGCTTAGCTGTTTAATCGCATATCATTAACTATCAGTATTTAAAAACACTGCCTTTTTAAACGACAGCTTTTATTCATAAGAAAATTTAACCCTAAAATTGAGTGTTGCTGTGTTGTGATTGTATAGCCATTTACAGCCAATTTTCAAGCATATATAAAAATGTAATTCTGGTGAAATATTGGCTTCTAATATCCTCTGGAAAATAAGTCTAGCAAAGGGTTTCCAAGAAATTACCATATTTGTTGTGCAAATATTTTTTTGGTGATCTTTTGCGAATTAAGCACAATAAGTTTTGTGTATTTTGCGCAATTTGTTTTGCTTAATTTGCACAAAACCAGAAATATTGACCAAAACATAAATTTTTACGCAAAACATGTTATTGCTAATTGACCAAAATTTACAGTTTCAGCACACAGAATCAAACAACCTAAGGTTTATTCAAAAATTACTTAAAAATAAATGATGATTATGCTACTCTCAATTGGTTACTTTTAGTTAAAAAATCTTCAAATTGAGGGACATAAATTAATATAACAGAAATTAGAAATTTGAAAATTGAAAATTGATGTTAGTTTTTGTTTGATGTTAAACTTTGAGCTTTCAAATTTTGACTACTTCTAATCAAATGCATATGATTGAAATATCAAAGACCTATGCCCACTGAGATAAAGACAACACTGAAACTAGGTCATCAATTTTTAAAACAGCCTCGAATTTGAAGTGTCGCAATGCCTTAGCCTTAGGTTTTACCTCGCCAACTCACTGATACTTTTTTTTGTAGGCATTTCAAAATGCTACAACTCTGTTTCTAGCTTAAGTTTAAAATTAGTAATTTGCAAAATACTGCTCGATTTTTGTGTGAGATTGTGCACATCTTGATTTGCAGTGTGCCATCATGCATCAGGTTGCAAAATAGAGTTTTAGGCAAGTAATCTGTTCCTTTTTAAGCATTAATAATGTGTAAAAAAGTGCAATCTCATAGAAAACTAGATTATACAGTTTACACCTTTATTCAACCTTTTACTGAAAATTTGTTTAGCAAAATTGCGCAAAACAGAATAAAGCAAAAACGGAATAGCACAATTTGACACAAAATGAAGTTTGCAAATGATTGCGCAAAGTGCTATTTTTTGCAAAAAAATGTAGCGCAATAAAAGCAAAAATTTGCACTTTCTTTCACATGAAGGTTTTACGAATGGAAACCCTAGTCCGGCATTGTTTTAGGCAGCCAAGACAAGAAAACCGAACAAAGAAGACTACTACCCTGTGTGAGTAAATTAGGGGTTAAAAGGAGCTTTTACGGTTAAAAAAAACAACCTGTGCTTGTGGTTTAGTGTTTAGTTCTTTTAATCAGTAGATTGTTACTTTTTCTAAAGCTCTTATTTAAATTTTGCTTTACATTGCAAAACTGTCATTGAATTACTCTGAAGTAAAAAATCTGATTAACAACAAAACAAAAAAACTATAGGAAACCTACCTGCATTAGTAGAGATGGTCCCTATGTATCTTATACCTCCTGTTGGGCATATTTCCCCTTGTAATTCAACTGTTTGGTTTTCACTGTCTAATGGAGTATCTAAGACGAAAGCTAATTGTGAGTTTTAGGTACTAGATAGGGTTTACACGAAACAGTAGATTCTCTTGCGCAACAGTTTTACGTTTTTGCACGAAATGACTTTAATTGCACAAAATTTCGCTTAATGTTTGTATCAATACGAAACCAGGTTTGCACGAAATTGCTTCAAAATAAATTTTTTTTATTTGAAGGAAATTGTGGATGAAATCATAATAAAAATCATAATTTTTGCTTGATTTTGTGCATTAATACAAAAATAAGTAATACAATAATACAATAATAAGTTAAATATATAAATATTTAAATATTGTGACAGTTTGACGTGAATTAGTTTCAGTATTAAACAACTTCCATAGCTGCAGTATTTTATTCATGAACAATAATTTCAATGTTATCATTTTCTATAGTTTGAACGGTAAAAATGTTGGTTACTTTCTTAATCAAAATATTGTTATGATAAATATGTTTTGAAAAAAGAAGGCACTAGATGTTCATCTATGTATTTATGTATATAGATATGCATACATTTCTCGTGTTTGGGTGACTGTTAGTTTGTTACCTATCTTAAATGGTGACTTACTCAAATGGTGAGAACGGGCCAGAGTATAGTGGGGCTCTGATTGGTTTAATCTTGGATTAATTCATTGTCTGGAATTGTTTCTTGAAATTTAACGAAATAGCAAAATAGCTCGAAATAACAAAATAGCAGGAATAACCAAATGGAAAAAAACAAGATTTTCTTCATAATTACACGAAATAGCTTTTGCGCATAAATGCAAAATTTTTTCGAAATTTTGTGCAATTTATACTTGAAACGTAAAAAAAATCTTTGTGCTGTTGCACGATTTTCGTGCAAAAATTTTTATTGGAAACCCTAGTACTACATCTATTTTTATAGCAAATAGTTTTTTTTATCAGTGGTATAGTTAAACCTATAGTTCAAGTAATTTATTGCTTGAAATGTAAAAATCTTACATTTTGTTCTGAGAAGGCCTTTGGTGAATTCATAAGGTAAGATCTGTGATGCAATCTTGCCTCTTAACTCGACCTTCATCTCAACAATAGGAGTAGATCTTCTTATTTTAATTTTGATACTGAAAAAGAAAATGTTTTATGATTAATCAAAATGAGTTAGAGCAACAATTTTTTATAAGAATTCCCTTAATTACTATCCTAAATGTGTAAATTATGATAATCTTTATTATAGTTAAAAATGTCCACAAATGTTACAAAAAAAATGCTATTTTGAAATTAATTAAACCTACACATGAGGGGGGGGGTTGAAGACACCCCCCCCCTCTAGTTTTTTTGCCCTAGCACTCTCATTTTTGATGGCCCCCCCAGGCTAACACTCCCTGGGGTCTGTAAAGGAGCCTGCATGAATCCCCCCGAACAAGTTAACTGTAGGGGGAGACTAAAAATGAACAATTCTTCCAATGTATTTATTTTGTCTCAAATGTAAGTTCTTAATAAGTTGTTGTATACCCCATAATATACAGAGTCAGACTGAGTAAAAGACCATATTTACCTCACAACAGAATCATAAATTATAGATATTGTAGTTTCTAAAGGAAGTGCGCCACATTACTTTGAGATCACAATTATTAACTTATACTGAATACCTGTCTACTATGACTGGTTGGGGTAAGAGTTTCATTACTGACATCTTCTCACCATCACCCAATAAAATTTTTGGAAATAGTATCAACATTGAAGTAAATGAGGTTTCTAGAACCAATTCTTTAATCTCAGGGTTGTTCAGAACTATACGAACAGAATCTATCATGGCCATCTGATCAAATATAATTTCAAACCAAGTCTCATGAGATCCTCTGAAACAAAATCAATATTGATTGAACAGTTCAAGATTATGCATTAAGGTTAGAGGGCTCCTTGAAGGGACAAGCTTTGGTTTAATGTTATTAGATCAGGTAGTGGGCCAGCAGATCTAAGGATATTCAAAGTACAGTCGTAAAATCAAGTTTTTCTTAATTTATCAAGAATTGGTTTGTTAAAGAAGATTTCTACAGTAGCTTACTTTGTGCATTGAATTCTCAAAGGTATTCCTGGATATTGATTAAGGATATTAACATCTTCTTCAATACTCTCAACCTCATCTCCTATTATCTTGTATTTAATTCCAAGGTCTTCAAACAAATTCAGGTGTTCATGTCCCCCACCTGAATAATTTTAATATAGAGGCTTTTGTTAGAACTAAGAATCTAAATCCAGGAACCATGTTTAATAAAGAAGCTTAACTATGAAGACTATGTCAAACCACATCTGTTAAACTGGAATTTGAATTGAACTGTGCCTAACTCTTGCTTTCCATCATAGTAAATTTTTCCAATATTTATTTTGTGACATTTAGAGATAAGCAAATTATATGTAAGTGTGATTTTTTACGAAAATATTTAAAGCCTTACCAATTGATTTTTGACAAATCCCTTTGGCTGCTTTATCCTCATCCAATTTCAGTTTCTTGTTTGACAGTAGCAAAACAGTTTTTCGTCCTATAAAATTGATAAAAATTGTCCTTTATTCTTAAAGGCTTTAACTCAATAATCTATACATCAGGGCTATTTTGTTGATAAGTGGAAAGGTGAAGGGGAGGGATTTTTGAAGCTTCAGGAGAAAATTAACATTTAAATAATATTTTCTAAAGTTCAAATAACAATATTGATCAGAGTAGAGAAAACCTGTGACAAAGTCTAGAATAGGATCTGCATCTTGTGTAAAATCATCCAATTCACCAGAAGAATCTTTAATTAAAATTATTATGATTATTTTCAAATACTTAAATTCAAGAAACACTAACAACAGACTTTTTGCAGACATTGCAACCAAAATCTAACTTTTTAAGAACTTTTTAGGCACTAAATCTTACTCTAATCATTTTTAAGGTTGTATGCCTAAATTAAAATCAAGATTTGTATGGTTTAATTAAGGGCCCAACTATTTCATCAAAATTATCCAATCCTCTTTGAACCACGAAAAACTAAACAGTAGCAAATTAGAAGCAACATTTCAAAAATTATTTTTAAAAAGCTCGAATCATTCTATTAAATGGTTAAAATAAAACTTAAGAACTGGTGCAGGGTGGATTTGAGCATTTTATCACAAAAGTGTCCCATAGTTTCATTCTTAGTTTAATTTTGGAAGATACGTTAATTACAACAAATGTTAATGTCACTATGATTGCTTAGAATAATATTGACATATCACAATATGCTTTAATATGATTATCGATATTATGCTTACAATAAGTTGGATAGAATCCAGGCTCTTTGGTAAAATCAGAGAACTCCAATTCATCTTGGGCGTATTTTTTTCTTACTCCAATGTGATAGTCTTCACTAATTCTATGGCGAAATAATAAGAATTTTTAATATTAAAAAAGCTACTAATTTTACTTTAACCAATAAAAACTAAAAAGTGTGTTTTACCCTACTCTGTAAACACAAACTGTGAATGATTTGAAATCAAATTTTAGTATTTGCGAAAGTAGCATTCTTGCATGATTCCAGGAAAGAAACCAAAATCCAATATTTTATGCAAATTTCTGATGGTGTAAACCTTTGATATTCAAAAGAAACCTTACAAAATTCATAGTTTGGTATATCAATCATTGATTTACAAAGCTCAGGCCTGTATTTTGTAATTAAAAGACAATGATTTTGATAAGGATGACCCTAATTGACTTACAAAATTTAACAATGAGTGAAAATTAAAAAACTTTAAAATTTTACAGATAGAAATTTTTCTACAAATACTGATTATATCTTTCAGTAATTTTTCAACAACCGGCTTAGTTTACTTGGTTTTACATTTCATTGAAACCAATGAATAGCTAATCAAGTTTTACGATTCTCACAATCCGAAATTTCCCCGGAAAATAGAAAATTAAGATTCTTACTGGAAGATTTCTTGTATCATTTCCAAATCTCCTACTTTCTTAGGAGCCCACAAAGAAGCACCCATAAGATCACATTTAGCCTCTTGTGACCAGTAAAAGTCTTTACTAATTTGAAAGTAACAGCTTGAACCATATCTTTCAAATCCTTCCTCACAACCTATTAAGGAATTTTTTAAATGTAAACTCATTTATAAAATAATTTTGGATTTTTTCTTATCAAAAATGTACCTTTGCTTGTAGAACCCCTCCATGGTAACTATTTAATTAGTGTATACCTTCCACTTAAACAGAATAACTTCGCCACATTTCGGAAGTAACTATTAATGTTAACCTGCCATATATATAGAATATCTATCCGCACCTCCACAGTAACTATATTCAGTGTTAACCTGCCACATATATAGAATAACTATCCGCACCTCCACAGTAACTATTTAGTGTTAACCTGCCACATAAACAGAATATATATCCGCACCTCCACAGTAACTATATTCAGTGTTAACCTGCCACATATACAGAATATCTATCCGCACCTCCACAGTAACTATATTCAGTGTTTACCTGCCACATATACAGAATATATATCCACACCTCCACAGTAACTATATTCAGTATTTACCTACCATATGTACAGAATACCTATCCACACCTCCACAGTAACTATATTCAGTGTTAACCTGCCACATATACAGAATATATATCCACACCTCCACAGTAACTATATTCAGTGTTTACCTGCCACATATACAGAATATATATCCACACCTCCACAGTATTTATTTAGTGTTTACTTGCCACATAAACAGAGAATCTATCCAGTATCAACACCACCACAGTAACTATTCAGTGTTTACCTGCCACATATACAGAATATTTATCCACACCTCCACAGTAACTATTTAGTGTTTACTTGCCACATAAACAGAGAATATATCCAGTATCAACACCACCATAGTAACTATTCAGTGTTTACCTGCCACATATACAGAATATCTATCCACGCCTCAACAGTAACCATTCAGTGTTTACCTGCCACATAGACAGAATTTCTATCCACACCTCCTCAGCTACTATTTAGTGTAAACCTGCCACATATACAGAATATCTATCCACACCTCCATAGTAACTATTCAGTGTTTACCTGCCACATATACAGAATATCTATCTACACCTCCAATATTTAGTGTTTATCTGCCACATATACAGAATATCTATCCACACTTCCAATATTTAGTGTTTATCTGCCACATATACAGAATATCGGTCCACACCTTCACAGTAACTATTCAGTGTTTACCTGCCACATATACAGAGAACTTATCCACACTTCCAATATTTAGTGTTTATCTGCCACATATACAGAATATCGGTCCACATCTCCACAGTAACTATTCAGGGATTACCTTCCATTTCAGAACATCTATCCATTCCTTCGCAGTAACTATTTAGTTTTTACCTGCCACATATACAGAGAACCTATCCACACTTCCACAGTAACTATTTATTGTTTACCTGCCACATATACAGAATATCTATCCACACCTCCACAGTAACTATATTCAATGATTACCTGCCACATATGCAGAATATCTATCCACACCTCCACAGTACTATTTAGCGTTTACCTGCCACATATACAGAATATCTATCCACACCTCCACAGTAACTATTTAGCGTTTACCTGCCACATATACAGAATATCTATCCGCACCTCCACAGTAACTATATTCAGTGTTTACCTGCCACATATGCAGAGAACCTATCCACACATCCACAGTAACTATTCAATGATTACCTGCCACATAGACAGAGAAGCTATCCACACCACCACAGTAACTATTTGAATCAGTTTCACAAGTTATGTTGCATTGAGCTGATGAAACTAGCAAGCCATATATGAACAGTTTAGAATATGTATCTTTTGAGTGACAATAGCATTTGTTTTCTTGCAAGAGAACAAAGTTTTTGAATTGATTTTTGCAGTAAACTAAACAGTCAAGGTGAGAGCTTGTGTCATAATGATCAGGGCTAAAGTCAGAACTGGTGAATGATGAGAAACATCCAATATAGACAGGACGGTCCACTGTAATCTCTAGGGGTGATATCAGAATTAAACCTTGTTCCTTGGTTTCAGCTCTGACAGATAGTGTGATTGATGGATTACTTGTTGACATGCCCAGGATAGAAATAACTAGAGGAAAACTCTCAGATTTGAGGGATAAGCTTATATTTATATTCTTTTCTTTTTCACCAACTTTTCCAATTATTGAAAGTGCATCATTTTTTGTTTCATTTAGTTGTGAGGCTGTAAACCTAAAAAAAATACAATAAGAATATTTAAAATTATAAATTTTGTGTTGAGTGGGCATTGACTTTTCATCCAAATCCATAATGATAAAACAATCTTGCAGAAATGAATTACCATTGATATCTAAAATTTACAAACCTTATCCAGGCTTTTAGATATGCCTTAGGTTTAAAGATGTCCACATATTTCAAACTAAGACCTAGATCGGAAGGTTTTAAGGTTGTCGTGATCTCAAAATACTTCTCTAAATTGTTATCCTCAGTACAGTAAGCTGCATATTCTGATACACGACCGTCTACTTGACTTCCAATTCCAGACAAATCTGGAATTAAAGCAGTTTGATTATGATTATCTTTATTTTGACTCATTAAATACCAATGTAGCTTTAAATATTTTATCTACGGTGCTTAATGTTTTCAGATTTATAATGTTGTCCAAGTCAATTGAGTAATTCATGGAGTATTCAGAGCTTCTTTGTATTTTAATAGCACAGTGCCTCAAAACTGTTAACACACATTTAACCTAGAAACCATATTGAAAAATGCATATTGATGTTAGTGCTTGTGAAATGACAAATATATTCCCACCAGGGCAAGGTAAGGTAGTTAAACTTAGTATGCAGTTTTGTGGACAAATTCTTTAGGATTCATTTGAGACATATAAAACGTTTCCACAATGTATAATTACTGAATTTGAGTAAAAAGTCAACGTTCAAAATCATACTTCTGGGTGGATACGTTTTTAGAATTGATTTTTTTTTAATAATTAAATAACGACGACAAAAAATGTAAACAAAATTCTACAGTAAACTAATTAGTTGTTTAGGAACAGGTTGAAAAATAAAAATTAATCTTATGATCGAAAATAAGTAACCTTGTTCAATTATTAGTTTATATTTTCTTATTATTCTAGTCTCCCATTATTCACAAAGATTTTCTGCAGATTTTCTGGAATAATTCTTAAAAAACGACATTTGAAGAATTTGTAGAAATCTGCGAATAAATTCATAGAAAATAAGAAATTCAATATAATGATGAAAACGAAATTATTGATTCTAGCATTCATTTATTGACAAATTTCTTTTGAGAAATATGTTCCTAATAATCTAATTAGTTTACTGTGTATTTTATACTTAATTTTTCGTCGTTGTCGTTTTTTTAATAATTTTAAAAAACCGATTCTGAAAACATACCCACCCAAATTCATGATTTTGAACGTCGACTTTGCACTCAAACTTAGGATTTACAGATCTTTAAAAAGTTGTATATGTCTCAAATAAATCCTAAAGAATTTGACCACAACACTGCATACTCAGGTTAACTACCTTACAGAACTGGTCTGTCCCTTTAATAACCCTATCCCAATTGGGTTATTTTTGTCTAATGTAGATTGGGGTGGGGGAGAGGTTGCACTTGGAGTGGTGATAGGGGAGTGTGAAACATGTCATTGGTAAAAACTAAGAGAATAGACTGAGTGAGTATGATGACTATGAGCGTGTACACATTGGTTATTTTAATTCTGAACAAACAAAGAAATTTGCTATCTAACTGAAAAATGTGTGTTTAAGCTTTTTAGCTTCCTAAACGTCGTTTTATTGAACTAAAAAGTGTTTATGATGAGTACAATGCCTGTAGAAGGGGGGTTGTCTATAAACAGTTTGCTCTAAAATGCCGTTCAACCTTCATAAACTTTAAATAAAAGTATTTGAAATGTTCTCATCTCTTATCCACAGATTTGTTTAAGCTTTTTAACCATCCTTAACGCCATTTAATGATAATAGGAAGTGTTGATGGCAAGTAAAATGCCCATTGCCCATAGAAGGCTGAGTTGTCAATGAATTATTTTCAATTAATTAACCCATTCGATCTTCATAAGTAGACCGAACGTTTAGAAAATGTGCTCGTTCATTTTTCTAAGATTTTTGAAAGCAAACAATAAGTACTTATATTCTAGATTCGCAATTGCATTTAATTAAGATTACAGTTAATAACAATAACATATATAGAAATAAAAAGATAAATTATATAAAATGATATTTTCCTCAATTCTTTAAATCTTTAGATAAGAGATCCACCATAATTTCGAAAATTAAAAAGGTTAAAACGGCATTTTAGAGTGTGAACAATCCAATTTTTAAGTTATCTGTTAATTTTTCTGAACAACCCAATCATTCACCAAAATTCTTTTCGTTTTGAAAAAATTCTTACGTTCACAAAAATGATGCCCATCTCTACAAAGTGAACATTCCCCCTTTAAAATATTATAAATATTGTTGATGTTACCTCTTTTCTTTTCACATATATAAGAATAGTTTATGCCACAATTGATATCATTTACTCTATTTCTAAAATATGATTTTTTTAATCCAATAACCACCCTTTATATAGTGGAACGGCTAGTAAAGCCATGAATTTTACCTTTGAATATTTTAGAAATATTCAATTCCCATTTACATTATTAATAAGAAAACTAATACTAATTAGGGCTGGGCAAGCTCATTGTTAACTTTTAACCACTGGAAAGTTTGTTAACAAGAGTTGTTCTTGAATGGTTTAGGTGTTTCATTCTCCGGAGACTCAAAAACTTCATTACAACTCAACAAAAAAATAATTGTTTACGTCTTTCAATGCAATTTAAACAACAAAGTTCGGACTTATGTTTAATTTTTCTTAATTTTCCATTCATTTTTTTTATCAATGGTTCATTTCATTCGTCAACTATTGAAACATTAATGTCTTTTCTTTGTTGTAAAGTAAATTATTTGTTAATTATCTAAAACTACCATTTATCAGTCCTAATTCTAATATCATTTTTACAAAGCAAACTTGAAAGATAAGCATACCTGTTTGTATTGTAATAAACACAAATATCATCTTTACCATAATTAGGTTGGTCCTCGTTCCAGGGAAACTCCCCTTTTGTTGGAGTAAGAGTTGGTGAACTGAAACTAGGATAGGTTTCCCAGTAGAACTTGTCTGTATAGTTTTTATCGATCATTTCTCTTTTTCCAGCAGTCCAGAATCTTTCTGTTTTATCCCCATGATATTCAGCTTCAGCTTCATCCTCAATAATGAGTAAGCTTGAAGATCCTCTCTTAAAGCATTCCTCTTGAGCAACACTTCTATTCTGTTTGTCTGTAGAATTATATCTGATACATTTTTTTCCCATGTAGTCTTCCCATCCTTTGGGACATGCTAAATAATAAGTTGTTGATTATTTACTTTGTGGAAAGAGGATTAAAAATATTTTTTTAAATGGTAATTTTTAATTAATGAATAGGAACCATTGATTAATAACAACACAGATAACACACTAGATGTCATCTTTTCAAGATTTAGGGTTTTTTTTGTTCACAAAACCAGAAGCCAAAAGGAGTTCCGCACAGGCAGCGTTGAAATACAAGACAGAGACAGAGCATGCGCTGCCTTTGGGCTTCTACTTAAAGTTTGCTAATATTATCAGGACTTTAAATATCATTCAAGTGTTACGTCAAATAATTCTATCTAAAATTTGAACGCTCAGCTCTGATTAAAGTCAATGAGGTTCAATGAATAATTCTGTTGATTTAAAATCAAGTACCTCTCGTTCATCATTTAAAATCTGGGCCTCTTTTTAGCTGTAATCAAGGTTTCATGATTTTTTAAAAATATTTATTTTGATAAAATCACGAAACCTCGGGTCGTGGAAGTCACCCTGACTTCCACGACCCCCTACTCTCAGTAATTTCCAAAGGTTTTGACAACTTCTTGGAATTATTAATTTTCTTTAAAACTTTGAAGTTCTCCTTGTTTCACCTGGCAAAATGTTTTTAAAATATCTCAGAGGTTGATTTCCTCGATACGTGTCTTGAACATCACAGTTAGAGGGTTTAGATACACCTGCAGGTAAAAAGTTGGCTTGAGTTTCATCACATGTCAAAACATAAGTTAGAGCAGATCCATGCAACCTTGTCACCTAATCAATAAATAAATTTTTAGAGGACTAAGCGTAATTTTATTTAATCCTTTATGCAAAGATAAATTATTAAGTCTAATATGAGTATAGAACAAGTATATATCATAAATGAATATGAACCTGCAGATGGAAGGGTAAGTACTTGAGTCTAAGATGAGTATACAGTACAAGTATATATTATATAGAATATAAACCTGATGGAAGGGTAAGTACTTGAGTCTAAAATGAGTATACAGTACATGAATATATTATATAGAGTATAAACCTGATGGAAGGGTAAGTACTAGAGTCTAAGATGAGTATATAGTACAAGTATATAAATTATATAGAATATAAACCTGATGGAAGGGTAAGTGCTTGAGTCTAAGATGAGTATACAGTACAAGTATATAAATTATATAGAATATAAACCTGATGGAAGGGTAAGTGCTTGAGTCTAAGATGAGTATACAGTACAAGAATATATTATATAGAATATAAACCTGATGGAAGGGTAAGTGCTTGAGTCTAAGATGAGGATAGAACAAGCATATATTCCCTAACACTGTAAACATATCACATTGTGAACCTAACAAGCATCTTCTAGAACAATCTTCAACACCTCGGACATATCTTTCTAGCATTTTTCCACGGTTTATATATCCTTGAAAAAAATATAAACATATTTATCCTATAAATTTGATCTAAATCTTGCATCTATATATATATATACTTTCCTTGTCTTGGTGTCTGTCAGTTTGTCTGTTTGTTTGTGTCCAATAAATGTCTCAAACGGCTGAACCGATTCGGTCCAAATTTTGTGTTGGACCTCGCATGACCCCAGGGAAAGTTAATGAATCCTCAGAGTTACAAAAAGTTGTAAAAGCTATTGATTTTTATAAAATCATAAAAATTCGCAAAAAAATGTTTGAAAAACCGCAAAATCTTTTGTTTTCCATTTTTATACTTTACAGAAAGCATATTTGAAGTAACATTTTTTTACATAATTTTCTCTTTTTCTTACCAGTTTCATTTATGACCAAATCCTTAAAGTTTACATTAACTCTGATTCCAGGATGTCTAAAGAAATAAGATCAAGGAGCAATTTATTGATGAATTGGATGTTCATACAGGCTTACCCATTAAAGATGAGATTATACGGAATTCTTACTGTCTGTTTCTTTTTCTATGATTCCTTGCAATTACTTCTTATGTAAAATCATTGAATAAACCATTTGAAGACCAAATGCAAGGCAGAAGATTTGTTTTTAACATTTATAATGATGATTGTATTTGAAGAGTTGCAGGTCGTCTTTATAGTCTCATCGTTTGTGGGTAACCCTCCATATACATTCTACAAACTGCTTTAGTAAATTGAAAACATAAACACTGAACAAACATTTGTTATATAAAGATTTCCATTGGATCATTTCATTAAAACTTAGATAGACTCAAGAAAAAATGCCTCGACCAACAAAATTTAAAACTTCGAATAAATAATCCTATGTCAGTTGGGCTTAGATTCTCCAGCGAAAGGGGTAAACTACTATTTCACAAAAAAATATAACTTTTTTTCAAAAAAGTATTTTTGCCGAAAATTTAGCATTTCCATTTAAACAAATGTTGCGTCAATCTGTTTTGCGAAAAAAAAAATCGGAAAAAAATCGGCAATAATTTTACTGAAAATTTTCGCGAAATTTTATCATATTTTGTCTTGTTTTCAAAAAAAATCCACATCTTTTCAATGCTTCTTTCGCAAAATTAATTTTCGCGAAAAAATGATACATTTCGAAAAAAAAGTTTGCAAATGCGAATGAAAATTTTAGCTGCAGAAACCCTAGTTTTATCCATAGTCCAACTTTTCAAGGCTAGATAAATAAGAAAATTTATTTTAACAAAGCATTGCATGTGACACATATTTCCACATTCATTTTCAATGGCTTTTGAAAATACAAGGATAACTCAATGAATATAAATAATTTTTTAGAGAACTTTATCTAAAAAACTATTCTATGCATTGTTATATATTTCTCTAATGCAGGTATTGCAGGCAGTACCCAAAAGTACCCCTAGTATCAAAATTACCCTGCAGTACCCATAGTACCACCCAGCACCCCCATTACCCTGCAGTACCCATAGTAGCGCCCAGCACCCCCATTACCCTGCAGTACCCATAGTACCACCCAGCACCCCCATTACCCTGCAGTACCCATAGTACCACCAAGCACCCCCATTACCCTGCAGTACCCATAGTACCACCCAGCACCCCCATTACCCTGCAGTACCCATAGTACCACCAAGCACCCCCATTACCCTGCAGTACCCATAGTACCACCCAGCACCCCCATTACCCTGCAGTACCCATAGTACCACCAAGCACCCCCATTACCCTGCAGTACCCATAGTACCACCCAGCACCCCCATTACCCTGCAGTACCCATAGTACCACCAAGCACCCCCATTACCCTGCAGTACCCATAGTACCACCCAGCACCCCCATTACCCTGCAGTACCCATAGTACCACCAAGCACCCCCATTACCCTGCAGTACCCATAGTACCACCCAGCACCCCCATTACCCTGCAGTACCCATAGTACCACCAAGCACCCCCATTACCCTGCAGTACCCATAGTACCACCCAGCACCCCCATTACCCTGCAGTACCCATAGTACCACCAAGCACCCCCATTACCCTGCAGTACCCATAGTACCACCCAGCACCCCCATTACCCTGCAGTACCCATAGTACCACCAAGCACCCCCATTACCCTGCAGTACCCATAGTACCACCCAGCACCCCCATTACCCTGCAGTACCCATAGTACCACCAAGCACCCCCATTACCCTGCAGTACCCATAGTACCACCCAGCACCCCCATTACCCTGCAGTACCCATAGTACCCCCCAGCACACCCATTACCCTGCAGTACCACCCAGTACCCACCAGTACAACCCAGTACCACCCATAGTACCCTTTAGTACCCATAGAGCCACCCAGTATCCACCAGTACAACCTAGTACCACCCATGGTACCCTGTAGTACCCATAGTACCACCCAGTATCCACCAGTACAACCTAGTACCACCCATGGTACCCTGTAGTACCCATAGTACCACCCAGTATCCACCAGTACCACCTAGTACCACCCATGGTACCCTGTAGTACCCATAGTACCACCCAGTATCCACCAGTACAACCCAGTACCACCCATGAACCCTGTAGTACCCATAGTACCACCCAGTACCCACCAGTTCAACCCGGTACCACCCTTGGTACCCTTTAGTACCCATAGAGCCACCCAGTATCCACCAGTACAACCTAGTACCACCCAAGGTACCCTGTAGTACCCTGCATAACTAGAGGTGGGCAAAGTTTCGTTAACGGAACAGAAGTTTTCAAAAATTGAAGGAAGAGTCCGTTAATGAACACCAAAAACCATTAATTTTTAAACCTCTCACAAAACAAATTAGCCGTTTTTGAAAAACGGAACGGATTTTTTTAAAACGTTGAATTTCGTTTTTCTGCCTAAAATTGCATAAATTAAAAAAAGAACTTGCGTGTTTTGATGTTTTTAAATGTCGTTTGTATTCACAACCTTAAATGCTGAGAATAGAGAATAGAGGTAACCTTTGAATTTTGATAAAAAAAATTTGGAGTTTGTTCAGCCCTGAAAGAAAATGGGTTCTCCTCAGAATAGGATAAATATAGTTGATTTGGATATCCAGAAAAGGATAAATATAGTTTAACTGCCAGTGCTGTTAACAATTTGAAAAACCTTTAATGCCGTTAATGCTACCAAAGACCATTAAAGGCTGCACCGTTAACGATTTCACAAGCGTTAACAAATTTTTTTTAACTGTTCACGAATTTTTTTGTAAGATAGCGGTAATTTTTTTTAAAAAACCGGTTAATACCTTTGAAATTAGCAGCTACATACCTGAAATTTTATTTTTTAACGGTTGGAACAAACCGTTAACAAAACGGCTAGAAAAAGTTGGAATGTGCCCAGCCCTATGCACCTAGTACCCCAAGTACCCTCCAGTACAACCCAGTACCCAGCAGTACCCTACAGTACCCCCAAAGTACCCCCAGTACCACCAACTATCACCAGGTACCAAGCAGTACCCTGCAGTACCCCCCAGTACCCTCTGGTACCCCCCAGAACACAGCAGCACGCTTAGTACCCTGTTACAAGGACTTTCCTTAAAGAAGAATTTTAGGTTTACAAATTGGTGTGGTTGCCATCCCTCCCTCTGTTGAGTGCTTGGTGTTAAACCAGCTTTTACATGAATGGAAATAATGCAAAACTAGAATAAAACGATACTCAAAAGTGCTTCTATAAAATACTGAATGTTTTTGTTCCAAATAAAAATTCGATTTGGTTTGGAAAATATGAAATGCAGAATCTTTCATGCCTTCGGATAGTTTTACCTTTGGCATATTCAAAAATATCTATAAAGAAATATTTATCAATACTTATTATTACTTTAAATCTTTACTGAATGAATTTAGAAAAAGTATGCCGGTAAAAGAAAATTTTAGAAAGGTATTTGCAATCATCCAGAACAAAAAAATTTCCAAAAAAATTGACTTTATCAGGTTTATAGGACGTTCAAAAATGTATGCTAAAAACTCAATTTTGACAACCCTAGGCGTTGTACGTCCCAGGGAAAGATATGACGCCTTCTTAGACAAATTGTACATTTATGAAAGCTCTCAAAAAGGCGAATTCATTTTGACGAAAAAAGACTTTGGAAAAAAAGTTCAGCCTAAGAGTTTTAGATTTGCAAAAAATATAGTTTAATTTTGCAAAATATTTTTACCATTTTGCAGAAAACTGTAAAATACTAATGTTAAATATAATATCATTATGTATAGCTGCACAGTTCTTTAACCCCCCCCCCCCCCCCCACCCCCCAACCGTGATAGGGTTAACAACAAACTTAATCTGGAAGGTAAAACAGGCCTATTTCAGACAGTATGCCTGGACTCTCAGCCAGTTTTTAAAAATTAATTAATAGAAAAGTCAAGATATTTCAGCTCTCTAGCCCTTATAGTTTTAAAGCTTTATTCAAAAACCATGGGTGATAAATTCCCCCCACCCCCCACCTCAGGAGAAATAGGGTCAAGACACAGAGGGGGCGGGGGGTACCCCACCTTCTGTGTCTTAACCCTATTTCCACCTCCAAACGTAAGTAATAAAAAACCTACAGGTATTAATGATCTTGTATCATTACATGGTCCTATATTGATGATATAATGTTTAATGTGACTTTATAATTATAAATTAATGCTAATGTAATGATAAAAACTGGAAATAATGGAAAATGTATCACATATCAATATAATTATTCTGTATAATAGTCCTAGTATAATTAAGATAGCTGGCCCCAAAAGCATATATTTAATCAAGAATGTAATAAAAGAATTTATGTAATAGACAAATTCTATTGTAGTTTTCTTGATTGGGTCTAATTAGTTAATCGTTTTTGAAAAAGACCTTTCCTTAACATCCGTTAACGACGACCCTTCTATAACGACCAATAACGACAACCCTTCAATAATAATCGTTAACGACCCTTTACAAGAGAAAATACATTTGTGTTAGTTGGAAAATCCAAGGTCATAAAACATCTAGGTTATTCAGACAACATTCATAACCTTACCTTTCTTTAAAAATTTGAAATTAATTGTCATAAAACTCAGATTCATTAGCGAATTTTTTACTTTTTGAATTTCTTTTTTTTTATAAAAACGCTCGTTCTTCAGAAATGATAAGTTTTAGAAAACGGTGGTTTTTCGTTTATTAAAAATAATGATCGAATTTGAAAAAAAACTTTGGTTTTCAAAAACTATCTTTTTTCGTTTTTGGAACGTTCAAAACGAGTGATTCATTTTCAAAACAATTTTTTTTTTTTCTAAAAACGAAACAATTCACAACCCTGATTGCAGGTGCTGGAATACCTGTATTTCAATTACCAAAATTTAGCAATAATGTTTCATATAAAAAAATGTATAAATTCTTTGCTCGAATTTTCTCCAAACTAAAAATATTAAGTTAAATTCATATTCCAGAGCTCACATGCAAAAAAATCAGCGTCCTACAATAATGCGTAAGAACATTAAAAAAACTGCGAAACCATCTGCTATACCTTCTGAAACCAAACCCCGACCGAATCTTAGTCCAAAAATCTACCTGCTCCACTTAGGAATACACCTTGGAGCTAATCCAGGAGGGTTAACTGTGGGAATAGAACCATAACCAAGAGTTCCATCTTCTATCTTATGGAATAATGATCCTCTCACAATATCATTATATGGTGAAGTATTTGGAGATTGGATGTCATCATCAAGAGTCCTAGATAGTAAATTGTACATATCTTATCATACTAGTTTGATATGATTTTCTTAAAGGGAGAGTTCGCCAAAAATTAAAGGAATTCAATATTGATCGATAGTTAATTTTTCATAATTTTTTTTTTTTTTTTATCTGTTATGTACTTTAAACTATATTTGGTGTTAGGTACTTTCCCATAGGCATTTGCCAAGGTTGACTTCCCAACTGACAATTTCCCAAGTGGCAACTTCCCAAATGTGCAATATCCAAAGTGACAACTTCCCAAAGTTTATGTTAATCCTTCTGAGGTGAAGCAGGCTGCAATAGGGGCAGAGTGCTGTGGTTAGGATGGGCTAGAGGGCCGTGCACCTTAGTGAAGACAGGCTTTAGGCCGAGAGCTGCGGCTGGGACAGACTTCTTGTCAAAAGTAAACTTCTTGGTAAACGTCTCTGATTTAAAAAGGTGGTTTAACTTCCTCGAAGGATGATTTATTTTCTATAAGGAAGTTCCCATGCAGTACATTATCTTCACGGAGTACTTTGCATTGCATTCCTATTGAAGGAAGGAAAAGTTCAGCTATAAGGCAGTAGTGTCACTTTACATTACGCTTGTAGCAAAAATTGAGGCCTATTGTAATTTACGTGTTACCTTGTTCATATAGTAATTATGCAAATCATGTATGTAAAACATATATAACTTTGTTATACCCATATTGTGATTGTTAACTTCATTATATAAAAAACATCGCATAACTTGTAATTACGCTGTTAACGACCCAATTCTAATACGAACTACGAAATACATCTTAGATGATAGATAAACTCCTGTTAAAATAAATTCGAAATATAAGGAAGACGATTTTTCCGACTCAAATGCCGTAGCCATTTCTCAAGATGTGTGTGTACACAAAATCCATTTCCGCCATGAAGTATACACATGTAACCCTCGCTCCTTTCTTTCCCTGCTTCACCCCTCTATAACACATCCCAGCTCAGTCATGTTAGGACAGTTGAACTAGTAACAGCTCCGACACAGGGAGCCTCTTGACTCCTTTATGATGATGACGCAGATACTCAATTAGCAGCAGACAGGCTTACCCGAGGGTTCCCAGTTTATCATGCACTCCACTTCCAGAGACAACATAATCGCTCAAATCCAGCATGATAAAGCCGCGATCTCTGCCTACTAGGTTGGATAAGCCCTGTTGCCCCAGTTCCTGTTGATCTGCTCCACCAACATGAAGCTCTACAACACTCCCATGAAGTACCATCAAATATCCATCCATAATTCCTTTGTTAATTTCTAAATCAACCAATTTTAACTCCGCCTTAAATGCAAATATTTCAAAACACTCGTTTTTTTAAAATAAATGTTAGAAATATCCATTTTAGATCTCTTTATTTTATTATAGTGACTTTTAAAGTCAACAACTCCATACTGTTTACTGCCAGAGAGTAAACCTGAAACCCTGTCTTTATATCCAGGTCAATTGTCCCCTTTAAGTTGGGATCGACATATAGCTATTTTGATAGCTAGGCTTGTGTCTTTGTGTGGCATTTAAAGGGGATTGTCCTCATCATTTGGGATTGGTATAAATATAGCTTATTGATCGCTAGGCTTGTGTCCTTGTGTGGCATTCAGAGCACTGTATTAGTAGCTGGATTTTGATAGCTATGCTTGTGTCCCTGAATGGCATTTAGAGCATGGGATTCAGTACTTGTTGAGTTTGATAGCGGACTGGCCTGGAAAGATACATCTTGAAAGATTGTTATGGAGTAGGTGTTTACTAAACGGTCACGATGTACTGTCAAATGACCCTACTGCATAAGATCTGAACTTTATCTTCCTTTACTAAGATTGTTATGCATTGTACTTAATGAAGTATATCGTGTACTGTATGTACACTTCCTTGTAGAAAAATAAATCATCCTGCGAAGAAGTTAAACCACATTTTTAAATCAGAATCCTTACAAAGAAGTTTACTTTAGCCTGGCGGAAATACGGTGCAAAATTTCTTACAAGCCCTTTAAAATGCTATTAAAACTATCCATGTACTCGGTTAATTTAACTTTGGATAATAAATGGGTCTTTGCTTTTTAAATTATAAAAAATTCAAAGGATAAAATTTTATTAAACATTGTTTACTTACAAATCATGTCTATTTTCTGCTAGAGGAGAATAAAGAAACTTCCCTCCAATAACTAGATGGTACTTGATAAAGATTATTAAAAGAACAGCCTTCATTTTACTTAATTCTGAAAAAGGTGAAATTAGAACAATTTGCTTTAGTGTAAATTTTGAGAAGTCGTATGAGAGGAAGAACAAAGAGGCCTGTAGGTTGATCTAAGGTTGATAATCCCAGTGAAGGGTCAATTGGTTGATGGTTGATAATCCCAGTAAAGGGTCAATTGGTTGATCTAAGGTTGATAATCCCAGTAAAGGGTCAATTGGTTGATCTAAGGTTGATAATCCCAGTAAAGGGTAAGGTTGATAATCCCAGTGAAGGGTCAATTGGTTGATCTAAGGTTGATAATCCCAGTAAAGGGTCAATTGGTTGATATCCCAGTAAAGGGTTGATTGGTTGATCTAAGGTTGATAATCCCAGTAAAGGGTTGATTGGTTGATCTAAGGTTAATAATCCCAGTGAAGGGTCGATTGGTTGATCTAAGGTTGATAATCCCAGTAAAGGTTTGATTGGTTTATCTCAGGTTGATAATCCCAGTGAAGGGTTGATTGGTTGATCTAAGGTTGATAATCCCAGTAAGGGGTCAATCGGTTGATCTAAGGTTGATAATCCCAGTAAAGGGTCAATCGGTTGATCTAAGGTTGATAATCCCAGTAAAGGGTTGATTGGTTGATCTAAGGTTGATAATCCCAGTAAGGGGTCAATCGATTGATCTAAGGTTGATAATCCCAGTAAAGGGTCAATCGGTTGATCTAAGGTTGATAATCCCAGTGTAGGGTCGAAAGGTGCTTGAAAGCTGGTTGATATCCTTTCTTTCCACTATGTTTCCAAAGCCGCAAACACGAAAACATTTGTATTTCAAACCTGCAATAATTTACAGGTATTAGACATATGTATATGGATAACAATATTTTAATGCAGTCAAAATATTGGTATAAATTGTTATAATATTTGATAAACAAAACTCACTAGTATTAGGTAGGTAAGGGAAAATGAGGGGTCGATAGGATCAGGAGAATAAAAAGTTTTTTGACTTCTGTAAAATAAATACCCGAGAGAAAGGTTTCAAGATGATTTATGGTCTACAATATGATATTCCCTGAGGATACACTAAATCTAGAATTTGTTAGCACTTAAAGGGACTGTAAGCGTAATTTAAAGAGACCCTCCGTGCAAAAACCTAAACCCTTGAACCCTAAATCAGATTTCAAGACATTTTATACTTGATCAGACAAAGCTTTGAAGAGTACCGGTTAGATTGTAAAATTGTAAGTTGTAAAATTTCAAAATTATGCAATATCATATTTGGCACAATTTTTTGACAGTTTTGATTCATGCCCACAAGTATGAAAATTTCAAATAATTTCTTTGTTTGTCTATTAGAAATTTTAAGCGTTTTCTTCAATATTTTTTTTAAAAAATAGTTATGATTGAAAACAGAACATATTTAATTTCACTTTAGCTTCACGTTTATATATTGTAAATCATTTACAAGGGAAAAACAAATAATAAGGAAATTCATGTCGTTTTAAGGGTACCGATGTAGATTTAAATTACGCTTACAGTCCCTTAAATCAGAACAATTAAAAGAATTGGTTGTTAGAGTTGTGAGGTTGACGTTTGACTGGCTGCAGTAGTGGTTAGTGTATTGCTTGAATATGAACTATATGAAACCAAACCGTCTCCAATGCAGACTTTTGCGACTTAATGCTAGTTTGCCGCCAACTCAACCCATTTGCCGCCAAACCCACCTCATTTTTCACAAAATATCTGAAGATTTTTGCAAAAATATTATTTTACTTTTGAAATGGAATTTGCGCTTTGAAAACCATTAAATTGAAACTTTTAAAGAAAAACTAAAATTTTTTTGGAAATCAAAAACAAAATAAGGCAATTTTGGAACAAAGAAAAAAGGGTTTTGCGGCAAAAACTTAGTTCCTGAATTTTTTGATTAGCACACAGGCCCTGCAAACTAAACAAAAAAAGAGAAACGTTTTTTTCTTCAAAATTTGATTATTTTAAAAAGTGTTTTTTGAAATTCTAGTGATGTTTATTCTCATAGGAAAAATTAAGTTTGGTCTTTCGTTTTTGATTCCTTTATGAAATGCCAAAATTCATTTGTTCACAAAAAAAATTGTTTTAACCCTATTCCCGCTGGGGGGGGGTCAATTTGACCCCCCCCCTGTAGTTTTTTTTACATAACTCAAAAAGTATTGGTCTGAGGCTGTTGAAATTTTCTGACTTTTCCTACATACCCAAAGCCCTCCCTTTAGGCCTAAAACCGGGCTTTAATACTAACTGCCTGAGTCCTCAGGCACACTGCCTGAATGAGTGCTTTTTCCTGTAACAAACTAAATCTAAAACTTTCACTTGTCAGATTTTGATAAAATTTAGCTTTTTGGAAAGCCTATGACATAAGGAAACGGATTGCACAAGTTTTGCGAGAAAAAAAATTGCAAATTTTTTGCAAACAACCTGTCAAAGGAAATTTGCACATTTTTAGTTTTTCTTGATTAAAAATCAGGTTATTTAAAATTTTGCAAACATTTTTGCATATTTGAAATGGCATGGTCAAGGGCTTTTCAAAAATGTATAATTTTTTATTTTTTGGGCAAATTTTTTTTTGCAAACATTTTTACTATATAACTGGATTTTGCGATAAAAAATTCAATTTTTGCAAATTTGCAAATTTTTTTGCAGATTCTAAAAGTAGAGCACAAGAGCTTTCCAATGATGTATCATTTGTCATATTTGGACATCAAACATGGGATTTAGAGGGGGGGGTCAAATTGACCCCCCCCCCAGCGTATCCTGGTTTTCAAGTACCCCAGCGGGGATAGGGTTAAAATTCTTTGGAACAGCATAAAATTGTTCAGTTAATAATTTAGATTTTAAATGTTAGCAATTTTTATTTAAAAAATTTTCCATTCTTTAAAAACTTAATCTTGCAGGATACATTCCAGACTCTTAATAAATGTGCCTAGGCTATTCCTATTTTCAAATCAGTTTCCAAATCCGAATTTACAAATTACAGGCCTATAAGTCTTCTTTCTTCTTTTTCCAAACTTTTAGAAAAAAATTTTGCAAAACAGATATTCAGATTTCTGAACAAGTATAAGTTACTCTACGATCATCAGTATGGATTTAGACCTGGGCGTGATACCGAACAACCAATTTTACAAATTCTAGATAAAATATATTCTTGTCTAAATAAAACAGATAATCCTCAATAATTTATAGGAATATTTTTAGACTTAAAAAAGGAATTTTTTACTGTAGATCATGATATTTTACTAAATAAACTTGAACATTATGGATTTAGAGAGACAACTAATACAATCTACACAAAAACTAATACTAATCTACACAAAAATATATTAAAGCCGGGGTACCTCTAGGGTCGGTGTTAGGACCTCTTCTGTTTCTTTCATTTATAAATGATTTACCCAATGCAGCTGAATTTTCTACATCCCTGTTTGCGGATGATACAGGATTGTTTATGTCAGACACAAGTCAATTTGATCTTATAGATAAATCCAATATTGAACTTAGTAAAGCAAGTAATAAGCTAATATTAAACATAAAAAACAAAGTACAATGTGTTTAGAAAGAAAAGCATGAAGAAAAGTATTTTTAATTTGTAGGAGTACACCTAGATGAATATCTCTCATGGGATTATTAACTTAGTAAACTGAATAAAAAGTCTAGCTAGTTCATACTTTGCTCTAAATAGCATAAAAAATATACTACCTTTAAAATAAGAAAATTTTTTACAATACACTTTTTAAAAGACACATGGAATTCGGAATAACATGTTGTGGTGCTTCTAAGAGTAAAAAATCAAGAATATTCAAAATATTCAAAAAAAATGCTACAGGAACAGTTTCAAATTCAAGCTTCAAAGCGCATAACACTTCCACTTTTTGGAAAACTAAATATTTTGAAACTGCATGATATTCTTCATTTGAAAGGTTCAATTTTTATGTACAAATACTTCAATGAACAGCTTCTTGAATCGTTTAATAATGTGTTTTGTGCTTTGTCTCATCAAAACCGAACAAAATGCTTAAGATAAGAAAAACCAGTGAGAAAAGTATCAGAACAATTTCCTAAAGTTTTCCTTTCACAAATATGGAATTCATTTTATTAGAAATAAAACACTCGTGTTCTTTAAACTCGTTAAAAAAACAAATTGCATGTGGATAAAACAAATATGTATCTGCAATTTGAATGTTCAAGATCAAACTGTTATTCAGTATTTCTAAATAAATAAATGTGCCATCCTAAGTTCTGAGGTAAACTATTGATTCTGATTAAGCTGATCAGTTTATATAATATCTATGTGCTATGTAAAATTATGCACTTTAATGATAAATATCTATCTATCTATCTATCTATCTATCTCTATCTAACCCCTGGACCGATTTGGCTCAAGTTTTGATTGGGGAACTGGGGAGAACCACGAAAATGTTCATGGCTTGGTTAAAGGAAAAAAAATAGCTAAAATCGTTATTTTAAACCAAACGGGGTTAATAATAGTACTTTTAAGGCACATTCAAATCCATTATTTTCACAACTAAAAGTTCTTAAAGGGACAGTAAAGGAAAAATGAAAGGGGGTATAGGCTGAAAGCTAATCACTTTAGCTCTTGATCGCGACCCATGAAAGTTTTATCTGATGATCCTATCTCGAGAAACTGATTTACAACTGTGTCAAATTTATACGAAAATTAATATACATACAATTTTGTATAAAAGTAGTGGGTTTAAATAGATCAAATTCAGCAAATAAGCAACCAATCTGAAAACGATATTATCCCCGAGAAAGCTAATTATTACTTAGGTTTACTCCAATTCTAATTTTATATTTGTTATTTCTATTTTTAATAGATTTAATTTATTATTTTATTTACACGTCCGAATTGCTTGACCAGAAAATCCACCAATGACAGTGCAGTAAAGTGGTCACGTGATACAGGCAGAGACACGTGATCAGTAAACTGCTCTGCCATTGGTGATAGTTCTGGTCACGTGATTTAAGTTTAAGATTTTCTAAATTTTACATAT